TTAAAGACATGTATCCATGCTATCTAACAAATCGAAAACTCCATGGCTATGCAATTATATCATATCCCTGAATAAAATTCGTTTCCATCCTTTCTTCGTCAGTGAACATTAATTCTCCTTAGCTGCTGGTATAAGATCATGTTTAGGTATTACTTCGGACCCTCCTGCACTTGCTCCATCTAGTCCTATACCCATCCCAGCTATATCTTTAGGAAGAACCGGGAGAGCAGAATCTACACTGCTGGCTCCAGCCCGTCCCAATCCTTTATCTACTGCCTCGATTGGTTCAGGACTCGTGACCAGAGGTTCTTTCCCTAGGAACTTGGCAATTTCCTTTTTATCGGTTCCTTTTTCCTCAGGACTAGTACTTTGACTTCGATATGCATTTGAACCTTTTCCAACAATCTTCTCTGTCCAGTTCCACCCAGAAGCAGCTGGTTTGTTCTCATCATCTTCACTCTCGTCTGCACTATCAACCCAATCTCTATCACTCCACCCGGCACTCTCATATCCATCTTGTTTATTCCTCGACCAACTTACACTTCTTGACGGTGGGGGTAGTGGTCCCGTTGATGAAGCAGAAGTTGCAAGTGCTGGCACGGAATCTCTCGCTTCTCTAGCTTCCGAATTCGTACGATCGTGTCTTTTAATTCTGTCACGATCCTCAAGTTTCTCCTCTGCATTTATTGTATCTATTGAAGGCTCGACTTCTTGTCCTTCTGAGCCTGGAGCCTCCCCTGCACCTTTAGCTCTTTCTCGTCCTCCACTATCTTCATCTTTTCTTCTCGCAATTGCATCGTCGGAGAAATGGGTATCACAAAGATGTTTGATCACTGGCCACCCATATGCATTGGCAAACATTCTTCTCACGATCATGTTATTATGAGCATCAGGTTCTAGGCTGACGAGAACCTTTCGCCAACTTAGATCCCGATGATAAGCTCTAGCAATCTTCTCTTCGACTTTCATTGCTGAAGAGTCTACAACGGTATTTGGAGGATGAGACGGATTAGTATTCTTGGGATCATCATAATCCAAGGCTGAAAGTTGGCTATCGGTATGAGAAGCAGGCGTTGGTGGAGTAGGTTCAGAAACGGAAGAATTTCGTCTTCGAAGCATCGTGGATCTCTTTTTGAGAGGTGGTGGAGGAATATCCGAAGGATGATATACACGATCATGAAATATTGTTCGAGCACGGGAGGCTGGATCGATCAAAAATTCTGTAGATGGTAGAGGTGGCTTGAGAAGATCACCTGCTGATTCAAAAAAGGTTGTTTTGGGAGGTGCTGATAGATGATCTGGATCTTGAATTTCGGTTTCTCCCGTCGAAGCTTTTGGATGACCTTCTGGAGCTGGAGATAGTAGAGATGACGTCGTCGACGAACCGCTATCATTGGTGAGTTTGATTGTTTGGCTTCTTTTATATATTTTTGAATGTTTAGGTTGATGAGCATGTGATTTTGGTGAAGGGTTAGAGCGGAAAAATCCAAAAAGACTTGCAAGTGGTCCATTATTATTGGATGTAAAAGATGTAGATGTCGGACTTCCGATCTCGTTACTATTTCTACCTTCTATAGAGGATATAGTTGAATGACCAGGCATCTCTGCATTTTTAACACTTCGCTTATCGTCGTCCATAACGTTTTCTGGAGGTTGTGGTACTTCGGTTTCAAGTCTTTGTAATGCGTTGGGAGAAGCAGTTCCCCCAATATCATCCATATCGCTGACTTCCTCCTCTGACCAAGGTGCTGGTTTCTTTGCCGGTGACCCAGAATTTGCCCCAGTCAGTTCAGCCCAACTCCATTCCGCCATGGTACCAACAAGACCATTTTCCCTTCTAGCTTTCTCCACACGGCCCAGGCTTTGCCAATCGAGAAAAAGTAAACAACTAGTTCTTAGGGGTACGATTCCATCATTTACAACATTTGAGTAGACTGTACGATGTCGAAATTTCTTAAGAACAGTATGTGCGGGTCCAGTTGGTAGAATTCGTAAAAGTGGCTTTGCTTCTGGCGCAGATTCGCCATCAAGTCTCTTGTGAGCACTTTCTCCAATATTTCCAACGAGCGCACCCCAACCGCTTCTTGCAATTGTTGGTGCTCGCCAAGTCAGTCCAAGATCTTGACCTGTACGACCAACCAATCCAAAATCCAATGCAAATTTGACATACAACGGATTCTCATTGCTGAGACCCAAGAACGGTGAAGCAAGTGCAATGAAGTTTATCGGCTTGATTATGTCGAAGAACTGAGGTGAATGTTTTTGGATGTATGCCACGGCATATGTTTGTACCAGTCCTCCAAGAGAATGAGCAATGAAACTAATACTGGTAAAATGGTAAGGAAGGTCAACGTCTTGTGGCGCTTTAATGATGCTGCTATTTTCATGTGCTGGTTTCCCAGAATCATCCATCGACTTCGAAGAATCAGGTTTAAGGGCATGAGAAAGGGCTTCAGTTGCTGACTTCTTAAGGGTAGGTCGAAATGGTTGATCTGGGTATGTCATCGTGAGAACATATTTGGCAAGTCTTTTTCCTAGGAATTTAATTCCTCTTTCTGTTCGGACGGCATTTCCGGAAAACCCTCGTACAATGACTTCTTCCTCGTCATCGGATTCATCATCAGTTTCTTCCACCTGTTCCTCGGGACGTCCCTCTGTACTCGCTTCTCCATTTGACATAGCATCAGCTTGTGCATTTCGATCCTTGGCCTGTTCAGCTGCCTTTCTTTGCTTCTCCTCTTGTTTCTGTTTCGCTTTTCGGGCTTTTGCATCGATCTTGGCTTGCTTGGCTGTCGCGTCTATACTCTCCTTCAAGAACAGCATATCGGCACCAAGATTACTATGCAGTCCGTGTGTCAAAACCACCAAATGTACATTTTTGGTTCGCTTCTTCCCCGGCTTTTCTTTGATATGACCCTCTCCTGTGGCATCTTCAACTGGCGCGTCCTTACTCTTGCCCTTCGGTCGTTGTTCTTCCGCTGCCTCATCCCTACTGTCCATCTTAGGAGTATTCCATAGACTTGCAGTATCATCAACCCTTACTCGTAGGGCCCTGGAATAAATACCCCTCGGTAATGCCGCATGATGGCCATCTTTCGCTCCTTGACTCTGTTGGTGATCATGAAGTTGTCCAGGCACTGGTGCCGTGCCTCCTAACATCGATCCTGAAGCAAATCCTAAGGACAGACTTTTTTCGTCCCGACCTAGCAGAATCTCATAATTAACGCTGGCAGAATTGGAAAAGACCACCTGCGAAGTAACTTCAATGATCCAAGTGACACTTTTCACATCCGCATCATCTCTGCCGGGCGATCTTCCATCTCGATTTGCACTTCCGGCCGTTTTGCGCACATCTTCTGGAACTACAAGTTCCGTCGAGAAAGAACCTCCGGCTTTTAGGTTTGGCTCGAATTCAGGCACACCATTTTGTCTAGGATTTTCAAACTTGACATTCGGATTGAAGGTAGAAGGATATGCTGCTGCGTACAGAGTATAAGGGCCGTGAACGAAGGCTGCTCGGAGTGCTATGGCGGAAGTATTCTTGATCTTCAAGTGAAGTCTTGCCGGAGAAGGCAGGATTCTATCGTGTGCCGGCGTATATGTAACATTATACCGAACTATTTCTCCTATCTTCACACTTCCAGCTTGGTATAAAAGTAGCATCTTATTGATATATGGTGGGTGGTCGGCGTGTCAATGCACCACATTCGAAAGTGCAGAGTAGAGAGTGGTAGAATGGAAGATTGTAAAGAATGTAGATGAGCACTGATGTTATTGTACTGCTGAACACATTTTGAAATGGATGAAAATAAGAATATAGGAGTATCTTTTGTGAATAGAGGTATATCGAACAATACTCGTACAATAAGTACCTAAGTAGGCATTAAGTTGTTAAAAAAAAAGGAGCAATGGTTCTCCTTCAACCAAAGAAATCTTGGTGCACGACCTCACATGCACATGTTCAATTGTTCAAATGATTTGGGACGATTGACCTTATCGTTATCAAATCACTGGTACCGACTAATTAACAATGACGATTTTGTGGTGCACTTACTGAAAGGAGAGAATGGAGATGTTGATTAATGACAAATCCTTAAATCCATAAATCCATAAATCCTTAAATAATGTGTGATATTAAATTGCACGTTGGCGTTGAATTCAGATGAATCTTCCTAAATTGAACAAAAATTAACAAGATATACCTAGTATGTTATATATATTATTCTCAAATTCCTGACTGATGTAAGGTTATCACATACGTCTTGAAGTCATTGATCTAAATATAGAGGATTCACTAGATACTTATATAAGATGTATAAAAACATATCTACCATGGGATATCTTGCCGGTATGACCAGTGTCTCTCTCACAATGCCAACGGGATCAAATAACAAACACGGCCGCCATCATTCAACAACGCCAGAAGGCTAATCGCATGTTTCATGCCTTTTCGATCATATCGGCATTCATTCTTGACTTCGAGATTCCTCCATGATCTGAACGATGTTCCAAAGGTCGACTCGCTAGGAAAACAACGTGTTTGGGATCAGTCGGGCCAGTGTAACACAGTCAAAGAACTCCGGGCAAGGAGCTACCACGGCATTCGAATTGCTCGTCCTGAAAACCGATTGATGGCCGACCAGTTTCCAAGACAACATCTAGATTGAAGAAACTCAGCGCTTTGCATTTGCTCCGCTGCTTATTCGAAACATTCTTCAATATGTTTGGTGTTTCTAAATCGGTGATGGTCTGAGCCCCTCCCTAAGATCACTTCTCCATTACTGATCCCCAAAATCATCCTCATCGTTTCATTGAATCAAATCTATCTTCGCGAGTGAACCTCTCCCAGCGGACGAGGGTCCAATCTGAAAAGCTATTTGTCAAAATTGCCTTTGGAGTTTGGGAATTTTTGATTTCGTTTATTCACCAGGTCCATACATTTTTAGGCACGGCAATTGGATTTTGTAATGATCAAGTAGATGCATACCCACGACTCTTCATTTATGACTGCGAAAACTTTGGAATTCAATTGTTTATCTTGTATCAAGTGGTCGATAATTTCCGTAAATGCAATGGTAAGCTTCCTCATAAAGAGTTTTTGTCTCTGCCCATGGCCCTTCATCCCTCTGGAGTCCTTTAAGCTTCCACGATGTGGTGGTGTTGCTGAGGAAGAACTCGATCGCCTCTCACATCCCTAGGTTCATAATCCAAAACCTCAAATGCAAACTTCGCCAGATCCATCCCAACCCTACTCATTACCCAACTAGCCATCATATCCATCCCAGCACAAGCACCGCCAGCCGTCCAAATATTACCATCAATGATCCATTGAGCATCAATTGTCCAGTTTACATTTGGAAAATACTTCTTAGCGTGCTCGATGACAGTATGATTCACCGTTGCTTTCTTTCCATCTAATATTCCTGTCTGAGCAACGGTTACGGCACCAGTACATGTAGTGAAAAGACCCTTCCCTGCTTCAACATGGGCACGGATAAAGCTTTTGAAAGATTCCGGGAGCTGGTAGGTTGGTATCGGACCGCCAATGAGGAGGTAATCAAGTGGTGGGCAATCCTTGATGGTGGTTGTTGGTACCACTTTAAATCCAGCAGTGAGCTCAACTGGTTCCTATTTTTGATCTTAGATTATGCTCTGGATTTTTAGCTCTGAGTATCTTACCAATGTCTCATTGATATGAAAGAAATTGATATCAATTGCGTGAGGTAGCAAGCGATCAATTTCCGGGGCCTCGGGAGATTGGCAAGCTTCCATCATTGATTTGGACTACGTCTAACATTAATTTGAAGCCGGCAATATAGAAATATTTCGATATCATTTGACTTACACATGAGCTCAAAACATCCAGAGGCATAGCAGCGTCAACTGTTTGATAGGGTATCATGAGAACACCAAAATTGATTGAAGCCATGATGAAGATAGTTCCGCAGGCGGAAGATTCTTGTTCAAGAAGTGGAATAAAGTTCTAGTGCTGAAGCAATGATGGAAAGAACTTGATTAATGCGTTTGCTCTTTTTAACAAGGCAATTGAGAGGATTATACTCGTGTTAAGTAGTAAGTTACAACGTTGTAAACCGGATATCCCTCAGCAGCTTTCGGATATACGACAGGATATAGCCACGGTAGTCAACAACCTTCCGACGCACACAATTTAGTGCATTTCAGAATTTAGATTTCTTAAGTTCTCCGCGGAAGTAGAGTTTTACTCATTGCTGAACGGATTTTGGAGAAATATCCGCGGATACTATGTTCATCAGATTCTTTGATTTCTTGTTCGATCTTCTTCGCGCGTCTTCTATGTATTTTCGGATGCTTGGCTAGGAAAAAGGTAGCAACTCATTATCACCTGATGAGAGAATTCAGCAGATCTGATGACTATGAACGCATGAGTTGGTGTATGTATTCCATAAGTGTTTCGGTCACCTGCACTGTCTTTTTGTCTACTATCAAGGTATGGCTTCTCTTCCGCTCACTCATGACAATCTCCTCTGTAAACAGGAGATGCCTAAAGCCGCTCGATACTTTGGGAATATTGCCGAGTTTTAAATATGTCGTTAGGGTTTTTTGTGTTACATCGGAAATCTTATGATACGAGTAAAGATCGTCGGGTCAGCCCCTGAACACAGGATATGTTTGTAGCTTCATGAATTGTACCCCGCCTATTGTGCAGCTCAATGGATCACTTTCAACCATATATTGTTTCTTGGCTAGGAGATAGAAATCGAGATGATGGAACATTGCAATTAGAAACTCCAAGTACTGTGAGTAAAACCCAATCATCCTCCCCAGGTTGACTATTTCTTCTCCACATCAATCTCCATAATATAATCAAATTATTTGCAAGCTATAATCACCTTAGCCTGATTAGAGGTATCTCCCTGCTGGTTATGACACCCGCTTGTTTCGGACTTTCTCGGAAGACACTGCCATGCGGGTTCACTATTATGGGTTTGAGAAAGCGCCGTTGCTATCGTATTGTAGTCTCCTTTTTTCAAGTAAAAATAAACATAGGTATCTCCTGGTGCACCATAAGATGGTACACATATCCAAGTTTTAGCATAAATCGTGCCATCTGTAGATAAATTTTGTTCGTTAGATGTTTGCAAAACTGAAAAAGGGCAAACAGATTGAGAGGATGAGTGGTAAAAGAAAGGAATAGTTACGATTACGCTTGATATTCTCTACTAGACCTGGTGCGCATTTATCTTGGGGAAGAGTATCAACCACATTTGGTGTATCGTCGGTATTTCCCCACTAGCAATGAGGTTAATCTAACAAATCTCGTCAGGGAATAATACAACTTACTCCAGCCAAGTTGATTGCAAAAGCAGTTTCGCCAGATATTTCAGTGTATTGACAGCAGTTTGTATATGCAACAGCTTCACTTGTCCAAGTTAGTTTTTTTTTCCTGCCACGTTCATTCAGCGTTGCGGTTGGGATGGAAGTATTCTCAATATGAGGGTTGGCAATGGGACCTATGTCGATTGCGGGGAGGGCATAGACTGTAGAAAAGAAAGCAATAGACAACAGGACGAGAACGATCAGAGTTATGAGGGAGGAGGGCCTAGCCGTGCAAACCATGGCAACGAAACAAAAGGGAATGAGACTGCGATCTGATGGAAAACTTCAGTACAAATATTTGTTTTGTTCGCAAAGATATACTAGGGACAGGATTTGGAGAACGATTGTTTGATGCCGATATGACTTGATGATACTAGTTAATTGATAAAGAGAGTGATAATGCACGAATTGACTATAATTTATCGAAGCTTCCTAGAGCTCAGGTTTTATTGTTCTCATTCTTTTCTGCCTACGATGATTAGAGGCTTAGGCGACCTACCTGCTCGACAGGAGCACTTCGGATTAGACTGTGTGAGGCCGGCCAGCCAACTCCTCTTTCGAACGCCCCTAAGGTTTGTTACTACCATTCATTCCAAAGTGCCCAACATATATCGGTACACATTGCAGGACGGCGAATGGACCTAGAACTTTGCTGTATGATGTGAAGAAAAATTTCAGGTTCTATCTATAAATTCGAAGGCTACTTTCATCGAACGTATGCTAGCAATGGACGTGTCGAAAAGGCCCCCGGAGATACATCTCGGGCATGAAGAACTGGCTTCAAGTCACGGTCATCTCTTCCGGCTGCAGTGGAATTTTGAAGCAACTCTTCATAAAGAGGGCAATCTATAAAGGGGGGAAAAAGATACCGTGCCAAAATGAAGAATTGCATGTGAATGAGACCCATATAGTGACCACCAACTATCGTTCGAATTGGCAGCAAGTACTTCAGAAATATTCTACCTAGAACAATCGCACCCACCATCGACTCCTGGCGTTTACAGACGCAAACGCGCACAATCTTAAGGAGCTATAGATTGTTGGATTCGAATACTGCCAGCCTAGGGAAAACATTACTGATTGTTAATGAGATAGTACTTTTACTTGAAGTCCTCATCAAAATCCCAAGGAAATATCTTTTGTAAGCGCGAATACTTCACGGCTTGTTGTAACCAATCTTCCTATGATGGATTGGGTCGCAATGGTTAGCATACACTGTAGTCATAACAAGCTTCCCTTTACGGTTGGTGAACCTTAAGGCGCGGAAGCTGGCCGGACCAGAAACTTAATCTTTCAGTCCTCACTGATGGTTCAGTAAAGTAGAGGCTTTGCACTCTCCATAGCTGGCCAAAAATCAAAGTTGTCTGGATAACCTACCCCTTTCCCCTATTTTACGTGATCCATCTTTTGCGCTCAAGATGAACTTGCATAGTTTGTACTCCATTAACAACTTACGATTTGAGGGTTGTCGTGAAACGAATTGATGATTGGATTTCTCACGAAAGTGTTGACTCTGATGGGTTGGTGTTGACGCGTGTATCCAGCCAGATCTTAAGGTTTCATCACCATAAATCTCGTGATGATACTAAATATAGCCCAACCCGTGCTTATCATGTAGATTTGTGAACAGGCTACCGTACATGTAAGGTTATTTCTTTCCTTCACAATTTTTTTTTTTACAAGAGAACAAATGCTGCAAACATGGAGTCCTTGCTTTACATCGTTTTGTGTCAGTTATCATCTATTCCTGTGTTGTCTGGGACTCGATATTAATGTACTTCAAGCCACCTGCTCCGTCGACGCGAAGTCTTCGCTATGTCTATTGACGTAGCTGTGCTCTATTTACCAAGGGATAGTCCCGTTGTTGAATTCAGGCTTCGAGTTATTAAGAGTGATTTTATAGCATAACATGCCATGGGCACCGAAGTACTCTAATTTAAGACTTAGACTGTACGTAGGAAGCACCAAAGGAGATTCAAAGTTGTAATCGAGTTACTGGTGGTGCAAATTCTCCAGAGTTGAAGTCTTTCAGCTGGATGAAAGTTGAGAACCCAGATTATTAACATGACGTTTATTTTTGAGTGAGCTTCTAGTAACTGTGTGTTTCTGATGTATTGATCTCACTACATTGTCTCAAGCAGGTGAAACAGATTGTGAAAACTCAACAAACAGTTGCTGGTAGTGTGGCACACACAAGCTCTAGGTAAGCATGGCCTTGAGAAATGAAAAGGAAGGCTCACTTTATTTTCGTCTGTGCCATGCTCCAGGTCCAAAACTTCATATCTGCTATATGTTGAGTATGTCTCACATGATATCTCTGCCTCTTTAGTTTGAGGTTGGATGGCTCAATATCAACATGCTTTATATACCAATCCTGTTAGTGATATTTCAACATGTAGTCTCCGGTCGCTGGAAAGATAACACTGCCATGTGTGTTCTATCTCATCTCTGAATATAGACATCAAGGCACATACAAATATAAACTTGTCTGAGGTTGCATGCTTCTCCTCCGACATATTGTCAAATCTGGGTGCACATACTATATAGAGATGTTCAATATCCACATGCTTTCGAATGAAGGTATCTCCGTCCCACTTCACATTTAGAATTTATTCGACCAAACTCTCCACAAAATCTTTTCGTCCACAACTGTATTCACCAGCATCATATCAGTTCACCGCAATATGTATCTTGCATATCTCTTCACCTTCTTGGCCGCTTCCCAATCTTTAATCTTAGCTCACGGCTTTCAAAAAGAAGACTTTGGTGCCGAGAAGCAAATACCTACTTCGAATGGTCAATCGATCACCATGGCGGTGGCGCTGTCAACAAAAACCATTGTGACGACGTTTGAAACCATTGTCACGTCCAGAAATACAGAAATTACCGCTCAAGATTATGAATCTACAATCACTTTTCAAGAAGCCAAGAACTTCAACTTCAGAGACCCCATGTGGTGGAAGTCGCCTATATTTCACCAAGCCTTAGCTACAGCCAAACCCATCGAAAAGTCTTTCAGCATACTCCAGGCACAAAATCGTCGTAATTTCATAAACTTAGGACCACTTCCAACATTTATACCTCGTGTTACGACCCCGTCACCACCATCACCACCCCTTTCATCTGCAATATCAACCTCAAGTCTTACTATAACATTTCCTGACTTAACTACTGCTTTCGCTGTAACCACTATAAGCTCAAATTAAAGTTGGCATTCAGAAGAATACGTCTCAATCCTCAATCCTCAATCCTCAAGCCTCTCTAAGGACGTACCAGTACTGCCATTATCTCGCTACCCGGACCCGTTTTCATGCATGAAACAACGGCTGGCTAAATTTTTGATTCGGCGATATATGATCAGAGCTAGTAATGGTTTTGATGTTATTGTGATGTCTTTTCGTGTTTGGGGGTATTTGCCATTTCGCGGGTTTGGATTTTCGGATTTTTCTATGATTTTGCATGTACTGTCGATTATTGGAGGAAACCCAAGTCACTCGTTGTATGTGTACTAAGGGTACCTTCTGATTACTTGTTATATCGCTTTCTCACTTTCATACTCAGTTATCTCATCTTCTGTACTTTAATTTGAGCAGAAACAGCTACACAAGTTCATACCTTTCTTACAGTTCAACAAACAGGTTCTAAATCAGTCTGTTCCCTTTCTTCAATATGCACTCTTCTCGCGCCCTTTTTCTCTTTCTTACGATCTACCGTTCGGCCGCAAATGCTCTTCCACAAATTTGAACCATCGAAACCACACTCACAACCATCGTCACCGTCACCGCCAAAGATGAGTCGACCACAACACGCGTTACTCCAAGTCCCATCTCACAGTCATTACTATACTGCGGAAATCAGTTTCAATCGGAGATATCAGTCATCATTAGTGCCATGTCCGACGACTGTACTCAAGTCACAATATTCCAAGGAGTTCAAGTCTTCAGTTGTGCTTCTGCGTTCGCAGCATCATTACTGTAAGATCTCGGTCTGTTTTACGAGCCAACTGCTACTACCGTTTTCTCAACTAAGACTGCGATCCCTGTGCAAGCTACCGGTGCTCAGCGCCGCGAACTATTGACGCTTGGTGATAAGGGTTTCGCAGTATCAGGGCTCGTCTCATCATTGAACTTGGGAGCTATTGAGCCATCTCCTGCGCCAATTCCAGACATTACTCTATTCAAACCACATGCTGTAGTTTTTCCCGGGTTAGTTGCTACTGAAACCGATGGTCAGCCCATTCAAGCAATAGTCCGCCGTGGTACCGAAGAAGAATCTGCTGTTGATATACCCACCTTTACTACTCTGTCATCAGGTAAACCCCCTGTTTCCACCCAGAACTCCCCAGCAACGATCACAGCGCGCCAGAATATTACGGCGCTTACCCTGATTGGTTGTGGTACTGCACCAGGTGGTTTGATCACATGCGCTCGAACTACATTCAACAATTGCGTTAGTTTAGCAGGTGGTCAGACATGCAATGGGCGGATTCCTTCGCCTACTTCCACTACCAATGAAGTTCAATCGTTCCTCTGGGTTGCTCCAACCACATTGCAAAGAGGAGGAGATACCATAACTACAAAACTGATCTCAGGGTTGTTTCGCACAACTCTTCAAGCTCGCGCATCTCTTGCACCGAGATCCCTAGTGCCCTTCACGGAGACTTTAAGGATGATGATAGGTAGATTTTAGCAGTGAATGTATTGGATATTGTGGTGCAAGAGAGGAGAAAACCAAGGATTGAAATACCATGGTAAGATAGCTTTCTGAAAATGATAGTAGATTCGTTCGCAGAGAAATCTTACCCAAAATCTCAGCAATGAATGGGTTAAGAGTTTGGTTTGTTTCATGAATTTACTTATAATTACTCAATCATTGCGTTTTTCGTTTGTATTTGTGCACTTTGAATTCTAATATCGCATTTTCACTCCCTAGACTCCATCCAATCTCCATGCCGGGAGCCTTCCACGTGATAATATATGCAATTCTTGTTGCAAAGTAGTTCTGCACCTTTGTTATACAAAATTGTGAGATTTTGGTGGGGTTTTCATGATAGATTTCTTACACCTCGGCGCGAACCTTTGCCAGCTTTACAAGCAGTATATTTGTATGAGTTCTACTCAACCGGGAGTAGAACTATTCTGATCGCGTCTGACCTTCTGATGTTTGTTCTTGGTTCGTTGCACAGCAGTCCCAATTCACATACATGCTTTGAGTCTTGCGGGAAGGTTTCGAAAATTGGTATCTCATTTAACAACACACTACTCATATCAAATCAACAACTCCTTTCGTACAGAATCCAAAAATTTATGTAAATCGCTATACCGTCGCCGCCGTTCGCTATAAACAATCATAAAATGCCTTCCGACCCCGAAACATATTCATATGCATGCCCACATCAATCAATAAAAATGATCCCGCATGATCAATTGCCGTCATATCCCCTCCATTCTTACCAATTGATATCCCTATTTCCTATCCTCACATCTCGTCGCATATCATCATAATCCCAGAAACCCCACACCAATCATACCCATAACTCCCAGCAGTCCAAGACCAGCACCATCTCTTACCCCAGCTCTCAATCTAGCTCCTGAAGAACTTGTTGGTGTAACACTAGAAGCGGTAGGGCTACTACTTGACCAAGTAACACTCGACAATGAAGACAGAGGAGTCGCAGTTCCTGGAAATGAAGTTTTCGAGCTCGTTCCAATAGTGGCAATCACGTTTTCATTACTTGTCTCTACCAATATTGCTGCCGATGTAATGATCGTATTTTTAGCCGAACTTGTCTTTGATACCGCGGCACTAGAACTCGATTCCGATGCGCTAGAGCTTGACGGTATCGTGCTTGAACTAGACGCAGCAGTCGCAACAACAGCATACGTGAGTAAAGCTGCAGAATCTGTAGCAATTGAAATTGATCGAAACTGTGACGTAGCTGCTGCGCCAATAATGGTTGTTGATGCAGTTTTGGTGGTACCGGGAATCAATTCGGTCGCCTGACATGCCATTGATGCGGGTCCGGACAACGCGCAACCTAAAGTCATTGTTCTAAAAGGCTTCAGTGATTTATTCCAGCTTAAGAAGGTTATATAACATACGTAGAGCCAGAGAATGTCATTGCATATTGAACGGTTTCAGGTCCTTGAGTTAACGTGTAGGGTTGTTGAAAGTTACATGTCAAGGGGTTTGAACCCGCTGGACATGCCATTAAATACGTTGTGGCAACATTTGCAGTCTTAAGATTCTAGGTTAGTAAACTTATACATTAAAAGCACTGTGAACAACGTACTGAGCCAATCGCATATGCGACAACCGGATAATCACCCACGAACAACGTTGATGAAGATTGCGCTCCAACCCCTCGACTACCAACACAAAATACCAACAAGATATACAAAAAATCAACTGAAAGAAACATATTGCAATCTACATCAATCATACAGCTACTTTTAGCTGCAGATATTTGTCAACGTAATTTCAATGACAATGTGTTTCTCGTGCATAATGAGGGGAGAAGAAGATAAAAAGAAGTTATACGAAAATGAGGAAGACATCTTTTGAGATGGATGTTGGTGTTTAGGGATTTAAGATTACAGGATTGATTAAATGGAAGGTAATAAGATCCTTCTGTGCCCATGGCGTTAATCATGTCCAAATATAGGGCTGCAGATATGGGCGCTTAAATAAATGAAAGTTGAGGTTTGGTGGTAGGATGAAATGTATTTAAGAGCTGTGATTGGTGAGAAGATGACCAACATAAGAAATGATTACATGAGGTAGGACAAGTCCTTAACATGCAATTACATCGTTGCGCCGCGCATGTCTGTGTGACGACAGTAAAACAAGAATGGCAATAATGCGTTCATGGTACCTCATAACTTAGAATTTCATGGATGACAATATCAGATAACCATAAAGCAAGTACCGTCGGCAGCTGAGGTCATAAGGTCATGAGTAAAGACTCGGCATAATCGGTACATACAGTCGTGAATCATTATAGACAACACGTGAACCACTCAGTTCAACAGCATGAATAGTGAGAAATCATGATTCTATCGGAGACGCCTAGCATGACGCTTTTCACATGACTGTAATGATCACAAAAGTTGCCGGTCGATGACGAGGGATCAAATGTGAAAATGACTTCGAGTCGAGAACCATTGTATGTACGGATGATGTACATTCCTGATTCCTCCCCTGTTGAGCACATGAGAGATATTCATATAAGATCTTATAGATTAATTAAATGGACCACTAAGCGCAGAAGGCCTCGTTCAATGTCATATCAGTCAAGGCTGACTGAATGAGCGAGGAATATTATACGGATTTACACTAAAACCAATGGAAAAGCATTGCTGACAACTTAGTACAATGAACTGGCCCGTCAATTTGATGTATCAAATTTGCATGGGAATATTATGTGACGTAACATCTATATGTCTTTCGAATATACTGTAAAGTCTCGGTACTGACTCGCAATGTTGGGAAGAGCCTGGTAAAGTAGTTTATTTGAGTCAGCTGGTATCACTGGCAAATTTAGATGGCAATCATCAGATATCTCATTTCCCCCTTCATCTGAAAGAAGGATCATAGATAGCGGTGAAAATGTCCGTGTGAAAACCAGGCACGGATTCTCGGGATGGAAGTGTATCTTCATGCAAGCAGAAGTAGTATGCAGTAGGTAGGTTTTCTAAGACTTCCTTTGAATTTTCGCTCAGAATAAGATGGCAAATATCCATCTGCATTAGAAATCAACAAATACCACTTGTCTCTTGGATGAGGACATTCCGGCATAAAGATTGCGAGTGTACTAATAAGTAGCGTTAAGGAAAAACTTATGCCTAAAGTTCTGACTTCGAACTACCATCAGTGAAAAGTTCCCGCGCTTGGACTACTGATCCCCAAACCCTTCTGGCACGTCCCAGTCCGTGAGCACTTACACTATAATTATACTGGATTGCAATCCAATAGCTGGCACTTGCTAGCTCTTCGGATCAGGGAAATCCATATGGTACAGACTGAGTTAGGAACTGATCAATGTCAACCTTGATCGCCATACACAAGCTCTAATTTGACAGGCCAGTCCAAAACACGAAAACCTTCAGCAACATATTGCTTGAAGGGGTATCCTAAGTTCAGATTTTATTGGAAGAACTAATAGTGAGTGTGTTTTGAAGTCTGTGTCCACGTTTGACAGGATTTTATAACTATTCACTAGTATTGTGTCGCCCGAAGACTATACCAGACCTAGTGACTGCGGAAGTCCATGATATCTACAAATCAGCAGTAATGAAATGAAGGGAGATCAGATAAATGACTCCTCTTAAAAGAATGTTCGCCAGAATATAATATCCATGTGTTAGCAGCTAGATCATCGAAAAGTATTTCATAAAGTGGAGTGAGTGATTACTCGCAGAAAGTCCCACGCCGCCAGTACCAACTGTTTCCGATTATCTAGCAGTAGTGGAAAGTGTTAGACCAGGGATGGTTGACATGAACGTCTTGACAAATATCCACTTCTTCCCATTTTCGACTTGTGTCTTGAAATCTCAATCTTTACTGGTATCAAAGCAGTGGGTTTTACTGCTAGTATTTTGCATTTCCGTGAGCTTCATCCTAGCTTTTATCATCAGCCAAACTTTGCAAGCAGGTCGACTCAATCTATCGGACCCATCTTGAAACTCCTCACCAGCCTCACTTACTGTCATCCCTACCACCAAGCAATCTGCACACCCTTCAAGTCCACTCGGGATCTATGCCGACGATTGAAATAATCGTGATCTCCAAATTAAGTTTTCCTCGGCAAACTGTCCCCGTCATGCACTACTATAGCGGTCAACATTGTTTTTTGAAGCTTCAAGCATTGTGGCTGTATACTTTACAAACCTACCAAGTATTCGGAGAAATGGCAACCAATTATGTCTTACCAAACTGAAAATCTTACCACCTAAGACTCCCTCTGTCATATATTCTAAACCTCACCGACCTCAAGGTTTCCAGTAAGAGTATTGTGTGGGGCAAGACTGCGTCGAGAGCGACAATAAGTCCCCCCGAGAAACTCACACGACACTGCGGATCTGAACACTATACTTTTCGGTAGATTAGATCCACCTTCGTATCCGCGCTAAGGCTGTCTAGACACCTCTCGTTCCTGTAGACGAACGGTGGCTTTCTTCATGCTTATATCTTCAATCTAATGTGTGGTGGACTATGTTCCCCTTTCACAAAAGAAACCAGCACCGATTTAGACTGGTGGTAGGTTTAAAGTGTAAATCGATTGGTCTAATGTCGTCGGGTACTTGCTGAGACCGATGCCATGATATTCCCAAGTCCGATGATCCTCGGTCTCATACTGAATGTTGTTTTAGTAATCTCATGATAGCATCAAAAGAGGCATGGGAGGTTTATGCAAAATTCGACGTTGATTTGGTACAATTATTAATGTTCCCCTCTGCTGTAAATACATTTTGAAACTATCAAATCGACTTACCATTTCTCTTCGTATTCCGAATTCAGAATTCAATAGTCGACGCTGAATCAAGATCTTTGCAGAATTTTACATGATATGTCACCTATCCAAAGAAGATCACCACCAAATGACCCCGGCAGTCTTATGGGATTTCATTTTCCCTTGAAGATCTGGAGAGAGATTGGCGGCCGTGAATTATACCTAGCACGGAATCAGCCACTTACTCTTTCAACCAAAGGTGATGGAATACAAGAGATCATACTCGATTATGGAAGGAGTGTGGGCGGCATACCTTTCATTGAGACAATCAATGTGACTAGTAATGGACGACCCGCTGTAGTGGATGTTGTGTACAGCGAAACAAGCGCCGGGGTTCACAACAAAAAGAAGGGTAAGCTTGTTGTAAAAGATCATTGAATGAGATTTTAACTTCTTTTAGGAGACGGACCATTCTTTGGGTTGTCTAATGCAATGGATACTTATAGAGCAAAAACCCTTTTCTTCCCACCATCACATACCCCCAAGTTGATGGAGTTCAAACTGCCACAGACTTCTCAACGATATCAAAAGATCACTCTTGTAACGCCGAGTTGTTCAGTAGTGATCTCATCGATAGGATTTAGAGAAATAAGACCACGAACACTAGGGGAGAGTCGTTTCGTGTCTTCCAACGATTTGCTTAACAAGATATGGAGAGATGGCGTCAACACCGTAGATCGATGCACAGTGGAAGCTGGAGAAGTACAAGAAATATGGGAAGTAGGTGAATTCGGCACGAGGATATCGGGACAGAGATGGGCACCCTGCCGACATGGAACACGATGGAAGAATAAGGCAATCAAATTTGAAGTAAAGATCGAGTCCGGTGGAGCCAGCTGGGGTATTCATATGGTGGAAAGTGGATTGATCTTCAGCATAGACATTGCGTCAAGAAGGCTATCAGTTTACGAAGGCACTTCCGATACTCCACCGTCGATACTAAGAGGGGCATGGGACCTACCCGGAAGTCTTGACTTGTTTGATTGGATGAGGATCGACACGGAAGCTCGGGGTTCGAATGTTTTGGTAAAGATCAATCATAAGAGAATCGCGCACCTCAAGCGATTGAACATAAACTCATCACCCGGAGGCGAGCCAAATACCGGTTCAGTAGCATTTGGCGGTCCTGAACATTACCTCGCAATATATCGATCACTGGTCGTAAGAGACTCTAATGATAATACACTCTATGAAAACGATATGAGACTTTCTAACAGAATCCGGGTGTTGGCGGATTTCCAAGTCGGAACAAATCAGATACCATGCACGATCGACAGTGCAAAAGGTCATCGTATATGCTCTGCTGGTGATTTGCTCGTCATGGGTCGATCCATTTACCATTCAACGGAGCATTTAGAAGCGGTCTTGGGAAGTTTATCGTTGCTTTCTAGTCACCAGGAAACTGACGGATATCTTGGGAACGTAAGTCCAATTCAAAAAACGTTCTTTGAAAATGAACGGAGTGAGCCTCCTACATACGCATTTTTCTCCCTCACTCTCAGTTTTCAACTGTTGGTAGCTGTTAAGGATTATTGGATGTACTCGGGAGATTTCTCTATCGTGGAGAGGATATGGGACAAGATGGAGAAATCAATGACTTTCGCAATGATGTATGAAGATAGACGAGGATTAATCGTGGCACCACCTAACATGTCAAGTAAGTATTTTACATCTCGATGCATAGATTCGTTCTGACAATTAAGCAGGAGATGTTATGTCATCCGATATACTCATAGGCGCTTCGTCCAAATTGAATCTTGCATACTACGATGCTTTGATTTCCATGAGTAAGATGTGTGGCATGTTTGGAATGGAAGATGAATACACACCTCGTGCCAATGCACTCAAAGACAAAATTCTGAAGAATTTTTGGCATTCAGAAACAGGTGTTTTGCGATTAAGTGACCGCATCCCATCAACAACGATATCACACGAGGTTAACTCATATGGAAGAGTTCTCGGCGTCATACCTCATATTGAAAGGTCAGACGAGCACTTGGGACTCTCAAGCAGTGGAGAACTTCCACGAGTAATTCGAGATACAGAAGATAGAAAAGAAGTGAAGATTGTGAGTCCTTACACTTGTGGAATGGCAGCAGAAGCATTGTTTCAGGCTGGCAAGGGGTATGACGCGGTGGAGTTAATCGAGAGTGTATGGGGTCCTATGGCAGACCCAAAAAGTTTGGAATACTCAGGAGGACATTGGAAAGAGATTAAACCAGACGGCCAGCCAACTTCATCCATGACATCCATGATGCAAGCACGGTCTACCTGGCCGGTTTTTATCCTTCCGCAGTATCTAGCGGGAGTTGAACCATTGAGTCCTGGTTGGTCTCATTGGAAAGTGCACCCAGTACTTGCAGGTCTCACGTTCGTGGATTACCGACTTTCAACGTCAGCTGGAGAAATTTCCGTAGCCATTCATATACACGAACCAAGTAGTACAGGAGAACTCGCAGTGTTTGTACCGAAAGGAACAGTGGCGGATTTATATCCACCGAAAGGTTGGATTTTCCTGGCATCTAGGAGTGTGTGTGCGGAATATCTGGAGAAGAAGGTCGTTATAGGGCAAGATGAAGAAGTAATACTAAGACTCTGTGTATCGCCTCACGATAGGCAATCAGCGCCTGTTAGGCAAAGTTTGAGGCAGCTGCCCTGGGAAGATTATGAACCCGAAACGCAAGAGGAAGAACCAAAAAGTCCAAGTTGTATAAAGCGATTTGGGCGAAAAATGTTCAAATCAGGTAGAGAATGAATTTTATTTGGACCAAAAAAACGTGCTCCACTATGGTGGTTTCTATGGGTGATCAGTCGTCGGAAGGGCCGAGGTCGTAACCAATCACATACTGATAATCATCACTGATGGAAAGAAAACAATTATTGAATGATGTGAATTCGTCAGATAGGGTATATTGGAGCATAGAATGAACATTATGCGTGGCCACTGGCCCGGTTCATTGGGCCCCAATTCTCTCGCGGGTTGACTTGGTATCTCACTATCTTTTTTGTGTCTTTCTCCATTCCCAATTTTTCGTCAAATACTACTTCGAGATTCTTCTTCTCGGCAGGCAGCGTATCTTTCTCATCGGCATCACCACTGCTAGCCTCATCCTTGATAGTTCCCTCCTGAGACGTCGGAGCCTTTTTGTCCAAGCCCATTATATACCAGCCAGCGGTGTTCTTCTTAATAACACCCTCTTTTGGTGGGAATTTCTGTCGTGCCCACTCTCTCATGATCTCCCAGATAACATCCCAAGGAGCGTCGGTTTTGATACTACCACCCTTCGTATGACTCCTAGTAACTCTATAGCCGAGATGTCGTAAAGCTCCTCGAAGTGCGTTCTCATGGGGAGTCACACAATGAATGACTTTGGCGAGCATTGATGGTATAAAGAAGAACGGATAGTGGTCAATGGCTGCAGGATCATTTTTGCCAGTCTTTGATGAGGCAGTTGGGGAGTCCGACATGTCTTCTAAAGAAGGCAAATTTTCTTCGAGGGCCAATGTGAGCATACCTTCGATCCTAGCTGTTGTGTGATATGTATCTTTGGAAACGTTGGGCAGACCGTCCAGAATTCTCTGGATAAATTCGGGTTGGTGAAGCGGCCCACCGTACATAGGTCCAGCGAGGTGAGTTCTCATACCACAATGAGCGCAGTTCTCACCTGCTGATGGTCCCATGGAGTACACATGTTTCCAGAAATGACCGTTGCCATTTTTATTGGGTGCAAGCTTATTCTTTCCAACCATCTGAGTCGTCCATGCCCCACAACCAGTATCACAATTATAAACCATCATAGTTTTGCCTGCCAAAAATTTGACATCGGAAGGAGATTTGTATATTCTAACAAATACTCGGGCGTAGAAATCGATCGAAAGAGAAAGAAGTGGTTCCATTGCGAGGCCATATCGAGCAGCGGATGTAGCAATTGAATGTAAAATAAGTCTTAGACCACCCTCATGGCTATGCTGACCCTTGACTGTAGTTCCTCCGTAGAGAGAATATGCCTTTTCAGGATACCCATTTGAGGCCCATACACCGGCATCGGTACAAGTAACACACAAAAGCCCTCCGTCATCTCTAACTGCTTGTACTGCTGCATCCAAAAACGGAGCTGCTGTGCCATAAGGATCCAAATCAATTACATCGTATTTTCGGCTGCCACTTCCATCTTTGCAATCATCACCTACAAGACTATACATGTGTGTCAATGCATTTCCAGTCACAGCTTTGATCTTGTTCTCCAGCTTATTATGCTTCACATTGAGTTCGATCGTTTTCGTGGCTGCGGGCAAAAGATCATTCGCAGTGATCGATGTTGCAAAAGGAATTTCCTGAGCATATCTAAGAGCTCTAAGTCCAGTCGCAGATAAAGCATCGAGAATTTGAAACCTCGGATTGATTGGATTCGTGGGTTTTATGGCCTCTTTATCATTTATAGATTCTGATCCTTCAGCCGTCTCGGTTGTTATATCATTATGTGAATCGCCGTTGGCCGCTAGGACAATCGATTCTGTTCCTTCATTTTGACCATTTATTGCATCTGCTTTAGTCTCTGTCTCCATGTCGGCACTAGTATTCTCGGGTTTTGCGACGGCTATTGGGAGTTCTACAGTCTCTCCTGCATTCTCGAGTTTGCCAGCCTTCCTCGGTCCATCATGTCCTTCCTCAGCAGCCCTCTTTCTTTTCTTCTCCTTCTTAGCAGCATTCTTTTGTCTATCGCGTTCGATTATTTTCTTCTTCTTTTCCAATATACTTTCTCCGTATGCTTTAATCGCCAGGACGCTCAAATCTCGATTGAATTGTTGGATGGGGTTGTAGAAAACAGACTGTACTTGATTTTGACCTTTGGGAGTCGTCTGTGGTACTTTAGAACCTTCTGCGGGTATTAGAATATGTGCGAGACCTTCCTTGACCGTAGTGTATTCTTTTCCATCATGAAGAATATGCTGATTAGCAGCGGGGGCAACTGATATATCAGGAAGAGTGGATTCCATGATTGAGGCCGAAAAAAATTTGTAATGTTTTAGTTGTCGAATACACCCACCCTGTAGTTCAATGCGACTTCTTCTGAAGCAATTGACTGAAGCAAAAAACGATCGCATGTGTCGTCCCTGTTCTTGTGTGCAATAAATTGTATTGAAAACAAAAATCAAAATTCTGCCATTTAGGCGGTCGATTGAACGGTATTAGCGTCATTTTAGTTGAATGGCATGTGGACACCAGGCTTTTGTAGACACAATACAATGTCCAAACACCTTCTAGTCAACATTTGATATTGATATTATGAATGAAAATTGTAACACACTTCATTCATCATCAATCTCTATTTTGATACATACATTCTCTCCAAATCTAGAGGTTCGGTACAATGCACAAGCGTGTAGTATGTGAGTCGTGTTTGGCCATGGCCATGAACAGCAGGGGATCAGAGAACTTCAGATGTTCACGGAGTATATCTGTCGCGCTTTTAATTCCAGCCTTCGAGTTACTAGGTACTGGTACTTTGAGAAGATAAAGTGTCTGAGGGAGGGCGGGGACTCTTTCGTTCCAGCCTATTGGCCAAAATTCCTAACAAAATAAGCGCCCAACCATTTACTTCTGTCAGCTAAACCACACTCGAGAATACATTCTCCCAATATTATGGCTCAGCGCTGAAGAACGGTTACATTGTATTCTTGTCACCCAATGAATCAATCAAGACCAGGAATGCAATTACTCCGAAACACAGACATGCATATCCGATCAAGGGTTTCTATATTCCTATATACTAAGCGGGCGCAAGTTGCGTCTGCAAAATTATCTAAGCCATGTTCCAATGGTAGGGCAGAAGTAAGCGTGCAAGCATCAGAGCTATGCTATTTTTATATGGGTCTAGTATCTTCTTTTGCTTTGGTCATTGTTTCTCTGTTTCTTATTATTGTGACACTCTTATCTATACAGCTCTTTCAATTATCTTGCGAAATTGTTCATTGGCAATCGTCTGCAATTTGCAATTGGAATCTATACTCCCTCTCCAAACGAGGAACTAATGGCGCGAGGAAATTTATGGAAATCTCGCTCAAAATCTGCCACAACTGTAGTGCCAATAGACAAGGAGCTCTCGGAGAGGTTTGGTCTCTTCCACTTGAATCCAATTCCTGTACTTCCAAAGAATGGGGAGTCGCCTTATAAACTTGATATCGTGGCACTGCATGGCATAAAAGGCGATGCATTCAAAACTTGGACTGAGAAGAACGAAGATGGTGTCAAAAACATGTGGTTGAGAGATCAATTGCCTAATGAGCTACCAGGTGCTAGAATATTCTCCTTTGGGTATGATGCGAATGTACTGTTTAGTCGAGGCACGGGTACGATAGAAGATTTTGCTACCGCCCTGCTCGAGGATCTGTTGAGGGAGAGAAGCAATGATAAAAATCGAAAGCGTCGGATCATTTTTATATGTCATAGTATGGGAGGTATCGTTGTAAAGAAGGCGCTTATCAGAGCCTTCAATATCAAGCTTTACAGGAACATATTTGAGCTCACATCCGCCATTCTCTTCCTTGCCACTCCACATATGGGCTCTGACGAAACTAAGCTACCTCTATTGATCTCGAAATTTGCTAATGGTCTTCTCGCCCTCCCAATGAGATTCAGTGGTCGTGTGAGAGATGAATTAATTACGCCTCTTTCGCGAGGGTCGTCTGTGTTGATAGAAACACAGGACGAATTCAAGAGGTTGAAGCTATATGATGGAATTCGAGTTGCCAGTTTTTTAGAAATGGATATCTGCTCGGGATTGAAGGGGCTTGTGGTTGACGAAGAGAGTGCGCAGCTACACATTCCAGATGAGCGGGTGGTAAAAATGCATGGCTGTGACCATCGAAATATCTGCAGGTTTACTGGCCCGGAAAGTAGTTCATACAAGTCTGTCTGGGGTATTCTGAAAGTATATGCGGATGAAGCTAGCAGTTGTGGGTTCTGCGCAAGAAAGTAAACGGCGATGTAAATGCTGACGTCTAATCTATAGTGGTTGAAGATGATCTCGCCCCTGAGGACGAATGTAAGGAGCTCAAACCCCTGTATGAAGCCTCAATCTAACGTATATACAGCTTTATTATCCTCCATATATTACCCCGAAATGGAGCAAAGACGTCGCAATGCAAACAACGCCTACCCAGGTACCTGTAACTGGATCTCCCAAGATCGTTCCTACCTTCGATGGAAAGAGACACAACGTAGTCTAATGTGGATCAAAGGCAAACCAGGTGCAGGCAAATCCACACTTATGGCATATATTCTGTCAAATTTCCGCCACCGCGATTCTCGCCATCTAGTACTGAATTTCTTCTTCCATGGTCGCGGTGCCCCTCTCCAAAAGGGACCGGAAGGAATGTACAGGCAATTGTTATATCAACTTTACTCTCAAGCATCACCTATTCGCGAAGAACTCCGAAAGTCTTTTGCCGAAAAGAAAGCGTTGACACAATTGGAGAATGATTGTGTTTGGACTGAAGATGAATTGAAAGTATGGCTATTCAACGCCATTACTTGGATTGCGCAATCAAGACCGGTTACTTTGTTTGTTGACGCACTCGATGAAGCCGGCGACGACAATGCAAGGATGCTGGTTGATTATTTTGATGATATGAAGAAGAGTGTGTCACAAGATGAAGATAATGGATCCATAAGAATTTGCATTTCTTGTCGGCATTATCCCAATGTAACCTTGAGTGAGGGCTTTGAAGTCAATGTAGAAAATCATAATATGCATGATATTGCAGTTTTCGTTCACGCACAACTGGTATCGAAAATCATCAACTGGGACAACGACAGAGTGGCTATTGAGGGCAGGGAAAAGATGGAAGCAGCTATTGTAAAGAAATCGCTGGGTGTCTTTCAATGGGTCAAGCTTGTGGTTCCTATGGCTGCGGAGACATTCAACGACACGGAAAGTCTTAAGGAAGTTCACGTCATGTTGGAAAAGGTACAGGATGACCTCGCGGCTGTGTACGAGAATATTTTGACTAATGTCATCAAAGTTAAATATCGACCCAAAACACTGCTGTTGATGCAATGGGTTGCCCTTGCTGAGCGACCTTTGACTGCTACCGAATTAAGAATCGCGATGGCATGTGATGATGGATCCGAAAATCCAGGACAGAAACGATGGGAAGATAGTGAAGATTACATCGAGTCTGATAGGCGAATGGAGACTTTATTGAAGACGTTTTCTGGAGGGTTGGTAGAAATAGCTCTGTACACCTCAGGGCTATATCGTGTACAATTTATTCATCAGACGGTGGTTGATTTTATGCTTACTGGGGGTCTGCTATTCCTAGTACAATATTTGACGCGAAAAGATATCGGAACATATGAGAATTGGACTGGGACAGCTAATGCTCGCATCATTGGACAAAGTCAAGACCGCCTCTCTAGATCTTGCTTGAACTATGTCAAACTGCCAGACATCTCAAAGGAAAATTGGGTCGATGACTCCGAGGAAGTAGAGGAATTGAAGGCGCATAGATACCAATTCTTTGAATATGCGATTGGAAAGTGGTGGGTGCATGCGGAGAAAGCGGAGAGAGGAGGAATGTGTCAGAAATATCTAGTGCAACAGCTAGAAGAACCTCCCGAATTTTTTGATAAGTACATCACTCTAGAAAGGGCCATAGATATACATTCATATGGATTGCGCGACGGCTCAACAATTCTACATTTGATGGCATATGCAAACCTGCAAGGTCCAGCTAGAGAAATACTCAAACGAGGCGATTCTGTAGAAGATCAAGACCGGGGATCGATTCGGCCTCTACATTGTGCGGCTTATCGTGGTCACAAAGAAATGGTACAGCTTCTTCTGGACGCGGGCGCCGACATAACAGCAACTCAAGATCATCGACTTACGGCGCTCGAAGTGGCAGCTTCAAGAGCCCACGAAGATGTTATACATATCTTGCTTGAACGAGGGGCTGATATCAATGCAATCTCCAACAGTGGAACTGCACTAGAAGGTGCGGCCGCTAGTGGTGACGTACGCTTAGTCCGGAAGCTGCTAGATATTGGGGCGAAAGTTAATCAAGAAGGACATTTTGGGAGCACCCCTTTGAAAGCAGCGGCTGAGAAAGGACATGTAGAGATTGTCCGTCTACTTTTGGAAAATGGAGCTGATATCAATCATTATGAGGAGTACACTGGGACTGCTCTTCAGCGCGCCGCTATGTACGCTCACGACGAAGTGATCGGAATACTTTTGGAAAACGGGGCATCAATAAACGCACCAGGAGGCAGGCATGGAGGCACTTTACATTGCGCTTGCGACGCCTTAACTCTTTATCACGATACTGGTACCACGATTGAGCTTCTGCGATTATTGTTAGATCAAGGAGCAGATGTCAATATGTATGATGGGCCATGGGGGAGCCCACTTGCTGCTGCCATCAATCGCTGGGGCTTTCTAACCGCGAATACAAATGAAATTGATGCTCGGATAATATTACTTTTGGAAAAAGGGGCGGATGTAAATCCACCTCTTGGAGGAATTGGAAATCCTCTCATTGCCGCCGCAGGGCACGGTAACATCAATCTCCTGAGTTTACTGCTAAACTATGGTGCTGATATCAATGCAATTGGTGGCTATAGCAATACTGCTCTTTGCGAAGCCTCGAACACTAGGTGGCGAGCACACCCAGATGCTGTTAAATTCCTATTAGACAACGGTGCGGACGTGAACTTATTCGATACTTCCAAAGAAAACAATTCCAATGGCCCTCCGCTTCAACGAGCAGCGTTTAGAGGACGATTGGAAATAGTGCGTTTATTGCTTGATTATGGCGCCGATATAAATCTCGGAGCAGGGCAATCAGGAGGCGCGCTATATGAAGCTGCTTCATGTGGTCATTTGGAAATATGCGAATTGCTTTTGAATCTGGGAGCTGACGTTCATGCTGAGGGAATGGTAGGTACTGTACTTCATACTGCTGCCCATCATGGACATGTGGATATTGTCCGTCTACTACTCGAATATGGGGCAAGTGTTGATCAAGTGTGTGAATTTGGGACTGCACTCCAAGCAGCTGCCGCGAATGGCCATATTGATGTTTTTAATTTATTAAGAGGTTATCGGGCGGATATTCATTTTGTAGGAGGACATCATCATAACATGCTACAGGCATCGGCATTTGGAGGAAATATTGAAATGGTTAGGCTGTGTTTAGCGAATGGCATAGATGTCAATATTATAGGAGGAAAGGAAGTTCAAACCGCATTGATGGCGGCGGCTCAACAGGGACATGTTGAAATTGTGAAATTGTTATTGAATAAGGGGGCGAGAGATATCCAAGATGGCTATCATTTTAGTGTTTGGTATTATGCGGAAAACTGGGGCCATAGGAAGGTCATGAGTGTTTTGAAAGAGAGGGGTCTAGAGGTAGTGAGAGAAGCTGAAGGGGAGAGGAAGAAGAATGATTCAAAAGAGAATGCCGGGTAAACGATATGAATTCAGCAGACGTAATTAATTTAACCTAGGTGCTCTCAATGATTTCCTAGTGACATGATAAGGATATGAAGGTATCATAATCTATATTTCATCTCAATCAATGGATTTACAGAATGTAGGATCCGGTCAAGAGATTGTTCTAGCCACTCGATCATGTGATCAAGAAAGATCCTTCACTGCGCGTTTAGAAGGATTTATGCCATGAGTCGACGATATGTCTGGAAACCCCAGGGTTTACTTTCATGCGCGAGCCAGTCGACTACGAGGTAGGGAGACCTGCACGATAAACATCAATGCCGATAAGAGCTCTTGAGTATTTTGAAACATGGGTTGTGTTGGAGTTACTCTCTAGCCGTGGTCCGCATAACCGGGTCTCCATTGAAGTTCTAAGTTCTAACAGACATATGGATGTCTTTCGTCTGAGCCATCGAGTAATGAATGTCATCAAGTATTGAGCGCCGCTTAAGTAAGTGTTCAAATCTACTGGGTACGAGGGACCAAAGGATGCTGCGCATTTAGCTACCGGTATTCGGTGGTTCGTATAGGGCTTCAGGTGACTGCTGCATGGCAATGGTTCGCTGGCGATGTTTCCAAAAATACATCGTACATGATGACTACTGTACTCCGTATACATGGTTCTAGCTGCTGTGGCTTAACGTTACGAGGATTTTTTGGACCTATGGAAACGGTCAGAGTCTAATCCATTGAGGCTAAGTTTCGCATTTGATGAAGCTTAGTGTAACTCAATTTATCCCTGAATATCTTCAATTAATTCTAAATAAACCAATCATATTTGATTAATTCCCCAGTTTTACATCCATTAGCTGTTTCTAGTCCGCAGTTGTTCCTGAAGCCGTCTCGAATTACTTACTTTCCTTCCAGGCTCTAGTATTGATTAGTTCTTGGCGTGGTAGATCCCCTCGAAAAAATAATCTCCCATTGATCGATAGGAAAACCATAAACATTCATTTCGTTCAACTGTCTACCCTCGTTCTTTTCTTGCCCTTCTATACGAATTCTGTAATAAATCTACAATCCCTTTTTCTCTGTACCAACCTTCGTCTCTCAACTTCTCTTCAAATAATCTATATAATCATTCGTAGCAGTAGGAACTTCAAACTTGTTCAATCGAGGAAGATTGGGCCATCTAGCAGCCACACATAGGATCCTTTCGTTAAACCTGACGCTGGGTCGTGTTTAGAGGTCGAACCGTGTTGGAAATGAGTGTAAGTCCAGTGTTTCAATCTCTTGTCAATCGAGTTTCGATTCTTCCCCAACTTATTTGTCTGTTCATTATCTCTTCAATCGGCATTTGATTTCAAGTATTATACCTTTCTTTCAAAGTAAAATAAAATAAAACGCAATTCAATTACTCTGGAAGCAATTAACTAATTATCATGGCACAGTACGGGTTAGTTATTCATCATTCACCTTCCCCTGAACACCAACATCACACAACTGGGCTGCGAAGACTGGAACTCAGTATACGATCTCGATACAACTTACTGACCGGACTGTAATAGAAACAATTATGGCGGCGGTGCGAACCCGTATGCCCAACAAGCATCCCCAGGTTATTCTCAATCACCTCAATACGATAATGGAGCATCGATGGGACGAGACTCTTATGGTGGTGTGTAGCTTTGAGTACATGAACAATGTCATCCTATTAACATCAGAGCAGGACAAAATGTTGAGATGGAATCCTTAGCACAAAATGGAATGCAACCCGGAGAACAATCCGATCCAAATTATATTCTCAATGCGTGTCGCCACATCGATCATCAAATTGAAGCAGCCAATGAATACATCAACGAGTTGGACAGACTGAAGAATCGAGTCGGAAATGAGCTGGACCAAGGTGTAATCGCTAGAGATCTTGCGGGAATAGCAAGTGATTCGAGCACTGCATTCAAGGGTATAATCAATGAGATCTCTAGGCTCAAGAGAATGCCCGAGTCAGGAAGCCCAAGAAACCAACCGCAGATTGGTAGAGTTCAACGCAAACTCAAGGGAACTATGGACCAATACAAGGCGAAGGAAATGGCCTTCGAGCACGCAGTCAGAGATCAAATGAGACGAGAATATAGGATTGTTAACGCCGAGGCCACTGAGGAGGAAGTCAATGCTGCTGTACCAAATGCGGAACCACAGCAGATGTTTCAACAAGCTTTGATGACAAGCAACAGACAAGGACAAGCAAATACAACTTTGAATGCTGTCAGACAGAGAAATGAGGCTATCAAGAAGATCGAGCAAGATATTATCCAAATCGCCGAACTATTCTCGGAGATGGAGAACTTGGTTGTACAGCAAGAAGCTGCTGTAGTCAACATTGAGATGAAGGGTGAAGAAGTTGTCGAGAATATGGATAAGGGTGTTCAACAAATTGATACGGCAATTGTCAGTGCGAGATCAAGAAATAAAAAGAAGTGGTATTGCTTAGGTCTTGTTGGTATGTATCCCTTGCATCTCCTCCCATCCCTTACTTTAATCTTCCAATCACTAACATGACACGCTACAGTCATCATTGTTGCCATTATCGCAATCGTCTTAGCTGTACACTTCACCAGTAACGATTCAGACGACAAGAACAAAACTACTACTAAAAGAGCAGTCATTCCAGGTACCGACTTCACTACATCAGATAGACTTGTCGTACCAGGAGCAAGCTTCGTAGAATCAAGAATGGTGGTTGCCGGCAAGGAATGGAGTGAAGAAAAGGCAGTTGTTCCAGGTGCAGATTTTACACCTGTGGTTAGAAAGTGGAAGAAATTCATCGCATGAGTGGGATGATTCTCTGAATGAGAGGGAAATGATGTTTGTATATGGCAGGCCCAGTTGCGCTATTGATGTTTCGATTTTTTTGTCTCTTCTGCGAATATGCATGTTGTACTGAACTCGTATCAAATGAGCTGTGCATAAATAGATTTGGGCGTATATGATGGCTTTCCGGTTCAAGGACTGAAGAAGAGAAGGAAAGGGGAAAGAGGAAGGAAGGGAAAGAATGTCCTTTCTAAACACAAGCACGTTGAGATGAGACGTGCCTCGATACAAAATATTTCTTTGTGTAAGAATAATAGGTTTATATGGGAGGGAAAATTATATACCATACTTTACTTTACTTTTCTTTAGTTGCAACAACCATTATGTTGCTTTCATTCGCTTCGTTTGATATAGGGGTTGGGGAGTTCTCCGTTCCTTTGGTTTGAGAGGAGAAAGGTGGGATTGATGTTTATATAGAATATTGTAGTGTTGCTCTTAATATACGGTAGCTTTTTGTAATGAATCTTATCTGAAATTTATATGTACTTTGTTTATACTTGTTTTGTGGATTTGTGAGTTTGTGGTTTTCAAGAGATGAACAACTTGGTATTATTGTGTCATCTGTTGTTTTGCTTTGCATGAGTATTTCCACTTGTGAGTCTGGTTTACTCTGCTTCTGTGTTTCTAGTTGCTATATTCCTTGCCTGTGCTCTGATTAATTTGTTTTGCTCGTACTGCACTTTTTGTTAGACTTATGGACTCATTGCATTGCTTCAACTCATCTTGTACATCTAGAACTTTCCTACTATTCACCTAGTCCACGCATTTCTCAGCTCTTACACTTCTGCTTCACCTCATGCATTACAGCTCACATCTCACATGCATCCACCTCTATATTTGATCTTTTTGCCGAATCACCTAATTACCCAATCTCTCCAATTACTCTCTTTCCAATTCCAAGCTTCCACCCCCTCCCACTTCCCTTTCCCATGCTCTAACTCGAAATACAAGATAAGCTAGCCACCTAGATACCGAGTAGAAATTCACTCTCACTCCTCGCTACTCCCTACTCCTTACTCCTTACTCGCTAACCATCATCTCATCCCATCTATATCACCCTATCCCATCCCGTCCATCTATCTACAATATCTACGCCATCTCATCTCATGTCATCTATCAATCTACCACATCGAAAGCATGTACCTAGTATCATTTACATTCAGCATTCACTATTCACTCACACACCCCGTCTCGGTTAATAATTTGGACTGATTAATTATTTTACCTATCACAATTTCCTCAGTTAATCAGTTGGCGGTGATGATTGATAATTGATGGTTTTATTATTTATGAGTTTATATTCACTGTTCGCTCTTCACCCTCCACTGTCAGATAAATAAAGGGGGGAATGGGATGGATGTAAGGCGAAGAGGTCGGAATAGTATTATGAATTAGGTATTATAGAACTATCCTTCCCATACTTGAATTTTCACCATGTCATCTTATCTCATCGCCTTTCATTTTTTCCTTTTCCACTTTTGGATTGAGTAATCCATCTATTGTTTTACTACCTATCTTCCCGAGGTCGTCTTTACGATTGTTAGATTTTTGTTTAGATGATGCATCATTGTATCTATTCCAAGATATCATATCCCACTTCATACCATCTCTTTACTTCTTCTGAAAGCTCGATTCTCGTTCTCATTCTGATTCTCATCCCTTCACCCTATCCCACCCCTTTATTTTCTTCTCAGACCCTCATCCCCATCCAATTGTCTCCATTCAATCATCTTCGTCTTAACCATTCACCTCCATCCCGTCCCATCCCATCCCACATTTCAACCACATCACCACTACCCGCCATACTCATCACCAAAATCCATCAAAATCATTATCAGTATCATCCCTCCCATTTCCATTTCAAATCTATATCCAAATCCCACTTCCCCTCCCACTCCCCCTTCCATCCACTCCCTCATTCACTGACTTCCCTCCTCATATCAACATCCATCATCCAACATCTAAATTCCAACCCTCCCCATCCCATATCCCCATCCATACCCCCATCCCATATCCCCATCCCATACCCCCAATCCAGATACACCTAACTACCTACCCACCTACCTACCTACCTACCTAAGTAACCATACATCCCCATTCAACCTCCCACCACCTCCTTCCAATTCACATTCTCTCAGAACCCACCACCTAGACATTGGTCACTAATCATCCTAGGTACCTTGATAATTTTACTCATGTAGGTACTTAGCATGTCATTTACCACCTCGTCTCATCTCATCTCATCTCTCTAAGTCCTATCACAATATTGGGTATCATGCTCGCGGGATTTCACTGCATTACATCGCATCATATCACATCAAACCACATCACTGATGATTACATTCTAAACCTAATGATTCAAACCAAGAGAATGAAATCACAATGATTCAAACCAAAGTAATACACCAAATCAACCGATATAAATTATCTCGTACCATCTCTCCTATGAATACCTTTCAACCCCTCCCTCCCAGAACAAACATTAAGAGATAAATAAAATCGACTATCCTATCCGTCAACTCCCATACATAACATACTGATCCGATATCCCGCTCCAAGTCCTCCTAACTCCACTTCGCTTGAACCTTGATGTCATGTCTATTTAACATGAAATATTAATTAATATGATGTTGCGCCAATTATTTACGCCTATGATAATCCCTATCATGCTATGCCGTGCTGTACTGTGTCATCGTGTTACCATGTCGTAAATGTATGTATTAGTTAATATATGCAACTCCACCCATCCCAAAACCTTTCCGCCTGCCCAAAGTGTACATCCATTCATATCCAGTCTTGGAAATCAAGAAGCTTCAAATGTATCTCCTTCTTCCTCTCGCTCTCTCTGCTCTTCTTCCGCTGACTGCAATCCAGCTATCGCCATATCTCGTTCTTCGTCTCGTTCTTCATCTGCTGCTTCTCCATCAAAGTTATTCAAACCCATCTCTCCCACATCGAAACCCACTCCACCAATAACCTTACGTAAAATGTCCATCCGTTTATCGAAACCCTCAAGTAGCTTGTCCAGATCCAAATTCCCAATCTCCTTTTGATTCATCTCGTTGGTTTCCTTTCCTTTACCCTTCTCCCGACTTCCACTCAACTCTTCGTCCCCTTTCTGAACAGGTATTCCTACCCCATCAATCCTCAACATCAACCCGCCTCCCTTCTCCTTCTTCTCTCCACCATCCTCGCCCACACTTTCGAAAATCGGTGCTTTCCCAATCTCACATCCCATGACCTGCCATTTATCACTCAGACTTTGTGCTCTGACTACTCTATCTCCCGTTTCGTTCATATCGATAATGATAACTCTTTCCTCTCTCTGTTTCCCTTGCGTATCCTTGTTTTCCTTCTTCGTTTCTACTATTGGTTTTGAGCTTGAGCTCGAGTCCGAAGTTCTTAATTCCCCAGAACTCTTGTTCGTCATAGAAATACTATTCGAGGTATCTGTATTGGACGCATCCTGTAAACTTCTCAAACAGGCCTCTTTCAATTCCTCACAATCCTCATCATCCGAAAATATATAATGGATCTTACACGGATGGTGTGTTGTTGGCGTTTTCGGATGTCCATCTCCATCCTCAATTCCCATAGTCGAATCCGTAATCAACGTGAAGTATCCAGCAAAAAGAGCAACTTCTTCTCTAGGCATCTGCGAGCCGTCTTGTGAATCAGATGGTTGCTGAATATGTACTAAAGGATCTGCGACATGCGGAGGATATTCTGGCATCTCGGGGAATGGTTCTCCATATGTGTATAATTCTTCTGCAGTAGGTGAAGCGAGTCGACGTTGATCATCAGGAGAGATATTTCGGGTATTTCTAGAAGAACTGGTTTCTTCAGCAGTAGGTGAAGCATATAATCGATGGTCTTCAGTAGAAAGATGTCGAGCCTCTCTTGGTGAAACAGAATATCTGATTTCCTGCGGAGAATTCGACAGATACTGGGGATTCTGTGGTGAACTAGATATCGAAATATTACGAGGAGAAGTAGATATGCGAAGCGTATGATCCTGAGCTCGAGAGGGTGGAGGATCAAGAGAATCAGGTTCATTTGTAGACATGATGATTGGATGTATACTTGACTCTCCCGTTTGCGTGCAGTTGCGTTTTGTTGGGAAAGATGACGGAGAGGCGGGCTTGGAGTAGTTGTGTAATGATGGATATTGGTTAGCAAGCTGTCTTGGTTTAGTTGTGCATATGCCGTGCAATGTGATCGCGGGGATTCTTGATATTACAAGATCTTTAATAAATTACGAAGAGTTGTGAGAAAGGTTGGAGCTTGAGCTCCGGATGGGTGATTGATAGACGCATTATCGATGGCTTGGCGTGTCTCTTATCTTATCGGCACGTGATCACAGTTGAGGTTCTAGATCTCTTCAAGACCATCAAAGCAGACTTCACTTTGCAACTATATTCGAACTGATAATTATAGAAGATATTCCTCTGTTCCATATTTAATCTTCTTATTAAACTAAGTACCTCTCCTGCTATGCTCAATATAAACAACCCGAGCACATATAACCATCCATGAATGCCATTGCTTTCAAAAAAAAAGACTCTTTGCGCCAAATATAATATCCCCTTTCGTATTGCTTCGTAAGATTACACAGGGCTGTGTAAGTACATAATATACAATGTATTTTGCTTATGTATTGCCTCCGCTTCCTGTTATCAAAACTTCATCAAATTAGAAGAGTAAAGATACCACCCCCAACAGCAGCCATTGCTATAGCGAAACCACCAACGAAAACTCTAGCCCATTCAAATGGTGCAGGACCTCCTGATCCGGCAGATTTTGATGAAGAGCTAGTCGCTGATGATGTAGACGTAAACCCATTCTCGGCATTCAACCCCGTGGCAGTGGGATTGTAACTTGCTTGACCAGTTCCAGTCGCAGTTGCTGTTACACCAACTCTTGGAATTCCAGAAGCTGTTTGTGTAACAGCTTCTTCATTTGGTGCACTCGAAGCACTTGGGATAGCTGCACCTGCGCTTGCAAACGATACGATATTGGATCCAGTAGCGTCAAAATCGGTTTGGGCAAGTCCAATTCTGTTGTTTTCGAGGTCGTAGACCGCGTAAGCTGATCTCAGGAACGTATCACCGAAAAGCGTAGGGTTCGAACCAGCGGCTTGAATACCGAGCTGACAAGCTGGGTCACCATTGTTATAAGTTGGTGTACGACCATCGCTTGTGGTGAGAGGTAATACGAGTTGTGAGACATCCACCTTGATGGTGGGACCACCCACGCCCCCAAAGCCGTAGTTTATGCTACCAGTCTTCTTGGCTAGAGCACATGGAACTACTACCGCACCAAGTTGCTGAGAAACTGTTGCTCCAAGTTCTTCGAAAACAATAGCTGCAATGTCATCAGGTAGAAGGGTAATAGTGGTTCCAGAATCGAGGATTGCTGGGCGAGCAAAATTGGTAGGGGTCAATTGATCAGTTCCAGATGAAGATTGAACTGAGAGAGAAGTCCAAGCTACAGTAAAGGATGTTACTGATCCTCCACGAGAACTTGGGTAGACGTTGACTGTGACTAAATCACCAACATATTTCTCTGTATCAATACCACCGAACAATATTGAGCCAGTACTTGATTCTGTCTAGACGTCAGCTCTATTCTCATGAACATCTCATGAAGGGTTACACTCACGTAAATCATCCAACCACAAGCTGTAGGCATTCGTTTTGATCAATCCTGAAGAGACCATTACATTCGGTAAATTTGGGTACGTGGTCCCATTTCCAGTCTGAGTGTTTGCTTCGGAGCTATTGTATCCAATACCCATGATTCCAATTGAGATCGAAGTATCCGTAGCCAAACCCATCGTGAAACCTTTAACAGTTGCGCCACCAATCGAGAATGTATCTTGGAAATAATCTCCCGTGGATCCAGTTCCATCTACGTATGAAATGTTGAAAGCATCTTTGTCTACGTCGAGAAAAGTCTTGGACGCAGAAAAATCAACTAACGTATGTTAGCAAGCCTCCATAATAAATCATTTACTGCAGACATTTAGATATACGTACAACTTCCCCCCGGGCATCCCCCATCTCTAGTATCCTCACAAATGCTCGCACTCGAACTCGGCACCCAAACATCAGAACTACCTGTATCGATTTGTAAACTCAGTGCCTGTGCCGGTGTCCCCACTGTAACATTTGCATAATATAATCCACTAGTTACAGCATTTCCCAAATTAACCGTGACTGTATCTGCCCTTTCTGCAACTCGCATCACCTCTCCCATACCTCGTCGCTGGAGGTATTGTTGACGCCTCTGTAATTGTTCTGCTTCATTTGCATGATTTTTGGCGATTGACATTTGAACGGTATTTGCACCCGCAGAGGTCAAAAGCGAAGAGCTCAGCAGTAAACTTGTGAGCATTGTAGATCTCGCCATGTTTGTGGTATTGTAGGTAATATCGATAGAGAGAGGATGGCGGAAGAGAAGGTGTGGGAGGTTGAGAAGAAGGAAGAGAGGAGGAAGAGAAGGAAGAGTAGGAGAAAGAGGAGGAAGATGAAAAGTAAACTCGTGAATGGATAGCCAAAGGAGAGAAAGAAATTGAGGCTGGAAATGAGTGAATCGTAGGTAGGTATTTATTTAAATGCTTTCGTCACAGTGGCTGATGGCGAGAGGAGGTGGAGTATGATAGTATTGAGAATTGAGAATTGTGAATTGTGAATTGTAAATTGTACCGTTGGATTCCTGGTCCTTCGATCGTGATTGGATCACTTGAGGGAAACTAGGTTGAGACGGCAGCACTGTCCTCGACCTAGGCAACTAGCAAAGTAATAAGCTTTGAAAGCTCTGATAGCTTTCTTTCCTTAAATCAAGGTTATTTCGAATTCAAAGGATGGGCCAAGCTCGGGAAGGGAAAGGGAAAGGGAAAGGGAAAGGGAAAGGGAAAACCCCCAAAACGGAAGAAGATCTTGGAATATTGGTTAATTTTCTCTGGGGGTACCAATACCTAGTACTGTACGGAGTACCTTGGTAGATGGTAAGATTAATGAAATCGAATGGGCAAGGAATATCTCGATTTCCAAGCAGGATCCGTATTGTTTAATTGAACTGTTCCATATAATATATAATATCCAATTGTACAATGGGAGCGGAAGATTTAATACTGAAGTCGTACTTATGCACACAATCTGAATCTGATACCAAAGATGGAAAAAAAAGATAAAAAATTAGGACGCTAGATTTTATTGAGACAATGTCATTGAAAATGGGTGTTCGTATCTTTTTCTTTATTTTATTTCATTTCATTTCATCTGTTCACGACCAATATTTGGATATATTCCCATATATAAAATATCCAAACTTTTACTCCTTTATTCTTCCACCTCCCCAGCCATCATCATGAATGTTGTGATGCAGCGTTCCAGATTTTGGAAAAGGCGCTCTGTAAAACGGGAACCAAAGAAACGTGTCCGTATAGCCAAGATTTGAGACTGCCACGACTGATTATCACTCCGTAATGGTTTTCCCCGTTTCTAAAGAGAGTTGTAGGGCTTAGAATATCCAATCAAAAACGACGCCTACTTTTCAGATCTGACATTCCTATTCCTTTCGTCCACATACACTCAGCCAGCTGAACACAAATTAGTGCTCCGCATAGAGGCATAGAGAGACATTCCGCCACAAGTCTTGTTGTACGCAATCACACCGTCGTGATTTTCCCCCAAGTAACAAGCCGTTGTATTCTACCACAGCAAACCATACCATATATAGCATAGGACTATTTTGATACGCTCATTCATCCCGTCACAACATTTAGAGTATCACCAGATCAACGACATTGTAATAAATAGCTCTGCCAGGATTGTTTGCCCCTCGACCCTCAAAAAAACCACCCCCCCCCCCCAGATGAATCGGCAACTAGCCGTGCACTGCCTTGTCACGAAAAGGGTAAAGAAAGACTTGGCGAAAGCTTGTATTGAACGGGAATTGTGTGAGTGCGGCGGTAAATAACATCGTTATGAATAGTTTTGGTGAGAAGTTTCATTGAATAGGGTGATTGATAATAAAAGTACCTCCAGCTACCTCATATCATGCCCGATGTCGAAGAGTCCGAGTAATCGACTTCATTTGCTGAAAGAAAAAGGGAAAGGGAAAGGGAAACGGAAACGGAAAGGGGCGAGAAAAGAGATTGTCATGGAATCTCTGACGGACTTCACATATGTTTTGATTGTTGGTGGCCACGGGAAGTGCGAAGGAAGCTGAGTTCAAGCTTCTGTCCTTGTTTGAGGGGCAGCAGCGGTAGTTGTAGGGGTCGAGGTATGCTTTGGTTCCCGTCTCTCATATACGGTGTAGGCAGGTGGTTAATGAATCTACCATGTGGCTGTGCAGCGGTAGGTGCTGATGACGTGTATGACTTCATGATGTAAGGTTACTCGAACATTGGCGAGCTCGATAGCTCTATCTAGTGGTTCTTGTGTTCTTTGTCATGGAGAGATTTGTCAATTTGGTAGGTTTTCGATACTAGCAGATCGAGTGAGGAGAGTACTAGTAGCTCTTGTGCTTTCATGCATTCAAATCTCAAGATATCTTCGCACGGCGTAGAAAACATTCTGCGATTGGTATAATTCGCACTTCGCTGAAGGGTGTATGGCTGGCGTCATGCTTTTAGATGGCAAATTCAGGAAGATTTCATTGCATTTGATATCACATGATGATCTCGCGAAGAAATGAGCCTACCAAGATTACGAGGGAGAGGAATGGATACTCAGTAGATGCCACCAGGTTACCAAAACCAGGAGCTTTTGCTGGAAGTGCACACGCGTTCGAGGAAAGTCCATACTATACGCTCTGTACGATACGGACTTTATACTTGACATTCTCAGAACCGTGGAATACGTCGAGAACAGAGTGAACTTTGAGGTTTGTGGGTGTGAGGTAGAGAATGATATCCAATCATCTTGCGTCTCTACCTAATTCTTCTGTAGGTTCAACCTTCAGAGTGAATTTCGAAACTCATCCGTCCGCTGCCATTCGAAATAGCATGGCCCCATGTATCGCAGGAACGATGGAATAACTTTCTTTTGGTTTGGATCAAGCCCCGAAACTATTGTCGATATAAATCGTTGAGGTTACTCGAAAAACAAAAGAGTATATGCAATACAAAATATTTTTTAATATGTACACAGCAAAAGCAGATTCGGTTGGGATCCTTTGGGAATCACATTGCGAAAATCGACGGTAGAAATGATTGAGTCCGTTAATAAACATGTCCAATAGCTGTAGCTTTTCCCCTCACCTGATCCATCCAGAGAAACGGAAATCAGAATTTACAAAGTACATTGTGAATCTTTTACTGATAATGGAGAGGTTCATTCTGATTATTTGAGAGAGATCTCGAGGAGGTTCAGTCGATAATATAGGTAAGCCTTGTATATTAGGCTCAAATACTAGACTTATCCAGTTTCAACTTTCAAGCCCGCTCTCCATAGCAAAGCTCAATTCAGTTCAGAAACTCTCAGGGAAAAAGAGGCCATGGACAAGCGAAGATGTCAATTCGCCCTTCTGTCAAATCGTGGTCTTCGACTTTAAGACTACCTAAATCTTCCTTTCCGTAAGCAAATCTTTGGTTTGGCTAGTCAATTGTTTAATATTTTTTCGAACCACCAATTGACTATATTATCATCAGTCCTCGACCTCTCCCTGCAGAGCAACCAAAATACCTTCAGCGATGCTCCGATGATCTTTACAAATGGCAAAGCCATGAAAGATCTACCAAGAAGCCGTTCATCCTTCATGACGGTCCTCCATACGCCAACGGACCTCTTCATGTGGGACATGCTGTAAATAAACTCTTGAAGGATATCATTTGTCGAACCAAGCTTCAACAGGGTCACCGAGTTGTGTGGGTTCCAGGGTGGGATTGTCATGGTCTTCCGATCGAGATCAAGGCTCTTGAGCAACAGCGCGAGAAGAATAAAGATGGTGGAGGGGTATTGGATGCTATTGGAATTCGGAAAGCTGCGCGAAGCCTAGCAAGCAAAACCGTAAAAGAACATATGAAAGGCTTTCGGGAATGGGGTGTTATGGCAGATTGGGATAATGCCTGGAAGACAATGGACAAGACATTCGAAACCAAACAACTTGCAGTTTTCCAGGAAATGGTCAAGAAAGGCCTTATTTTTCGACGTTACAAACCGGTTTATTGGTCCCCTTCATCACGGACAGCTCTTGCGGAAGCGGAGCTTGAGTACAACAACGAACATATTTCGACGTCTGCTTATATCAAATTTCCTATCACGGACATTTCCAACGAACTAAAAGACATTATCCCCAATCTAGATAAACTTTCGGCATTGATATGGACTACTACACCTTGGACCCTTCCCGCAAATAGAGCCATTGCATTTCATCAAGGTCTAACTTATTCTATTGTCAAATGTGACGACGAACACCTGATTATTGCCAATTCTAGAATTTCTGCACTACAAGAGTCATGTTTCAAAGATAAAGCTGTCGAGATTGTCCAACGAAATATTCCTGGCTCTGTCCTCACAACTCTGACGTATACCAATCAACTTCGTGGCCGAAACTCTGATGTCCAACCCTTGATTCATGCTGATTTTGTTTCGGCTGATTCTGGCACTGGACTGGTCCATTGCGCCCCTGGCCATGGCATGGATGATTATGAGGTTTGCACTCGTCTTGGTATAGAAGCTGTTGCTCCTGTGAATGATCTTGGCTGCTTTACCGATGCTGCTCTTCCTGACGATCCAAGTGCTTTGTCAGGTAAGTCGGTTTTAAATGATGGCAATATGGAGGTTCTGAATCTTCTTGGAGATCAAGTTCTATTCATATCAAAATATAAGCATAAGTATCCATATGATTGGCGAACAAAGCTTCCAGTCATTGTCAGAGCCACAGAACAGTGGTTTGCAGATGTTGGAGATGTCAAAAGTGTTGCTCTAGAAAGGTTAAACGATGTGTCATTCATCCCTCAAACCGGAAAGCAAAGATTAGAAAGCTTCATCAAGTCTAGGAGTGAATGGTGTATCTCAAGACAACGAGCTTGGGGGGTTCCAATACCTGCTCTGTACGACGAAAATGGCACAGCCTTGTTGACTGATGCAAGTGTTGCACATATTCTATCTGTTATCGATGAACGAGGCATTGATGCATGGTGGTCAGATCCAGAAAATGATCCGGCATGGATTCCCGCCGGAATGAACGGTACATATCGACGAGGCAAAGATACTATGGATGTCTGGTTCGACAGTGGCACTAGTTGGTCGCAGACCGACCAGCGTGCTGATGTCTACTCTGAAGGTACTGATCAACACAGAGGGTGGTTTCAATCAAGTTTGTTAACTCACACTGCTGTTGCCGATAGTTCAGAGGCACCTTTCAAAACATTGATAACACACGGATTTACTCTTGATCAAAATGGCAAAAAAATGTCTAAATCAATTGGGAATACAATAGCACCGAGCCAAATAATGGACGGTTCTCTTCTTCCGCCTATGAAGTTAAAAAAGAAGGGTGGTAACATTTCTCAAGGACTGGGAGCTGATGCATTACGCTTATGGGTCGCCAGCAGCGATTATACTAAGGACCTTGTCATTGGCCAACCAATTCTTGCGACTGTAAACTCCGCTTTACTAAAGTATCGAATAACCTTCAAAATGTTGCTCGGATCCATGCATCAGAGTGCGAGGACTTCACCATTGACTCAATTGGACAAAATAGCTTTGGTCCAATTGCGAACAGTCATGGCTGAAGTCGAGTCGGCTTATGATTCATACGAGTTTAACAAGGCTGTAAGTGCAATAAATCGATGGATTCACACAGATCTTTCCGCATTTTACCTTGAAGCTAGTAAGGATAGACTTTACTGCGGTGATGGAGGAGGTGTCCTGGAAGAAATATTCCATGGTCTTCTGAAGATGTTAACTCCAATCACTCCTTGCCTTGTTGAAGAGGTTTGGAATCATCTGCCTGCCTGGATGGCTGCTGAAAACCCAATTCATCCCTTTCATCGTGAATTTCTTAATCCTATCATCTCTTCGAGTCGGCTCTCTGCCGAAGAATTCTCATTGATTGAGCAAGATATACCATGGTTATTAAACGCACAGATTGCCATCAAGAGCGCACAAGAAGAGGCTCGCTCTGAAAAGCTCATCGGGTCTTCTTTAGAATCATCCGTGTTGATAGATTTGCCTTCAAAAGGCCAGGAGGTATTCAAGCGCTATGCAGATGAGCTAGAAAGTATCTTTGTTGTATCATCCGTGGAGTTCGGTAGCGATGTTAATAGAGGCGATTGGAGATTTTCCGCGAAGTTGCATCCACCAGGATGGCATGGCCCGAATGAGGCAGGAAAATTATGGGTTCTACCTCCTAAGGACAAAAAGTGCCCTAGATGTTGGAGGTATGTAGCTCCAGTAGAGGATGAGCTTTGTAGGAGATGCGGAGATGCTATTACTGTATAAGTGTTGTTTATGTATGAGTATATCGATGAATAAAAGATACCCACTTCTCACACTGTCAACCACATTCAAACCATACGAGCTGTTCAACCATCATTTATTGATCAATCCAACAATCCATCACAAAGAAACGAATTGGAACTTTCTAATATGATAACGTTCCTTGGTTCCTGGTCAGTTATATACTCCTGTATTTCAATGTTTAGGAGCATAGGTTGGTACGTTTCGCGGGAATCTCATTTCCGGATGAAAATGGGTTTTGGGCCAGACTGGCCTGATAGCGTTGGTGTCATGATGAATGGGCGCTTAGCGCTAATTTTATATCCAATAAATCACTAGGTTTTCACCGGGTGCACCGACTTATCAAGCCGGTCTACCATGGCCATTTATAAATTCCAACTAGCGTTAATAGGTAGTTCTTGTACTATCTTTACCATGTGACCTATTAGTTTACATATCACAGCCATCGGCCTCTTGTCCATGTATGTACGCAACTATGATCTGGTCTTGTGCGTGGAATTGACCGTTTTATTGAGGTGCATGAATCCAGAGGCCCATTGATTTAGCCATGTATTGATAGAGACCGGATGGACGTGAACACGGAGCGGCCGAACCATGAGATTTCAAACAGTTTTGTGTACCCATATTTAGATTGTTGAAGAGATATATGGATGCGAGGAGACGTGCATGGTAAGGATATCTTCACCAAGTCTCGAAGTACATTTCTTCATTCTCTATACCTTTACTTACACAACATGGAACGTGGACGTGAACGAAGTGTAAGAGGAAGTGAAAGGGGGGGAGATCGTCGCCGGGATGACTATTCTGATACCGAAACAGTGAAACGATCCCAAAACTACAAATCTCATGACACCACATCGAGAAAACCAAAAGGTTCTTCTGGAAGACGCGCAAAATATTTCGACAACCGAGGGGGGCCACCCCTTTCTAAATCTGCTGGTCTTGGTTTCGCCAATGCATTCGCCCCTCCATCTGTGGCTCCCAGTACTGCAAAAATCAGTCCAGAAAACCACAAAAGCATCTCTGTCGTGGCCGATGAAGTATATGAGAGGGACCGGCTTAACAACAGAGATGATAATACAATTCTCTCAGCAGCTGCTGAAAGAGGTCGTAGAGACATGGCGCGAAAACAAGGATCTCTCAGTGAGAAAGAGAGGTACAATCGCGTCCTTAATTATGGTATAAGCGCGGGTGATAATGTGATGGCTGGTCCAGCACCATCTGAGGCTCCAAGTATAAAAACTTACACTTCTGGGGCGACTCGGGATACAGGGTACACAAGAGATACAAGGGTGACAGAGAACACAAGGGAGAGCAGACCCCGAACAAGAGCAGGAAGTGTGGAGCCCTCTAGTAGAGGATCCCAAAATACACGATTGAGATCAGGAAGCACGGCAGCCCTCGACAGAACTCCAGTGCAGAGGGGTACATCATTTCATATGTCCTCTTCCACGACAATTGTGATGACTGGTGGCAACAATGGTGCAGCATATCAAAGTCAAAGACACCACCAATCATTGCACATGTCATCTGGTGATGGTAGGAGAAAATCTGAGATAGCACAGGCGGCTAGTTTTGTCCCTCGCTCTGGCAATATTGCCGATTCCGAATATAGGTCCTCGAGAGGTGGCAAGAGACCAGATATCATTGTCGACTATGCCAAAGCCGGTATACAAAGCTTTCGTCCCGGAAATGACATTGGTGGCAACCCCGCAAGACACCGCCCTCTCCCCATCCTTCCTTCTGAGTCAAGGAGTCATTCACGAATTGAAGATTTGAAGTCAGTAGCACCAGCTTCTGATGCTTCTGAAAGCACCGTCAAGCCGCTACGTAGAAGCAAGGCGCCGGCCGGAGGTTGGCCTTTTGAGAATTCTCAGTCGGGCGCCAAAACTATGTCGCCGTCTGAAGCCTCAATGTTGGAAAAGCCTGCAGCATCACGCAGTGGACGCACCGAACGCAGTGGACGCCCTGGCGATTTAAGGTCCATGTATTCGAAAAGTGAGGCTCGACCTCCAGAAGCATCAGTGGCGGCTTCCAATAGGACACGCAGTTCCCTGGGTCTACCACCATCCCTGAACGGCTATGGCGGTCCTCGAGCTCCTTCTACGACTGCTAGCCATAGGAATCGCCTGGCAAGCGATGGAGATCTTGCTATTGAGCGTGATCGCTATCGCAGAGAAGAATATTAAGATTCCAATCAAAGAGATCGATTTAGGAGTAGAGATAAGTAGCTAACATGGTGGTAGTAAGTCAGCACGGTAGCGTTGGCGAGTGGCGTTAGGGTCTGCTTCAACGGATTTGATATTGTATGGAGATGAAAATAGTTTCCATGAGCTAAAGCTCCAGGGGTCATCTTGCGGGTACTTGTTATTGCATTCTTGGGGCGTTTGGATTCGTTTATGGATTTAGATTTAGTTGATAGATCAGATAGGTTAGTTAAGCATAGAATTCGGATTCTAGAACCTAGTATTGTAAAACCTAGTTGTGTTATTTTGGATATCCTTCAACTCTTAGTTTTTGAAAATTGTACAGTACATGATGTAATTTAGTGTTTTTGATGTATCAATCATCTTTCTATCAGCTATTTGGCGAAACTAGAAGTGTATCTAGACTCAATCATTTTATGGTAGATGGCTGGAATGGGTAGTTAGCGCTAGGGTGATAATGAGTCTGAATGCGTGATTTTTATTAGTTCCAAGATTGATATCACTCATATCACAAGATGGTTCTGTCATATTCCCTCTGCAGGTTCCTAGCCAGATGGCGAAGTTCGAAGGAAGAAATTGTTGGGATTATTGACAAGTCAAGTGGTGAGCATGAAAGGGGAAAGTGAGATAAGAGAGGCAATCTCCGTGAAACTTGGAGGATGTTTTGTTATTGATGGGGACGACGGTGGGAACGGAGATGGAAATGACATAAATGAGGAGGATGAGAGGAGTATCGTGACGGCGAGGCTGGACGTTGGGTTGGAAAAAGAGGAGGTTATGGAGATCTCAAAGAGAATTGGAAAGTTGTTACGCATTGAAATGTCCAACAATCATTTGAAAAGTAGTCTCATCTTTGGCAACTATAAAGATGAAGCTTTTTCAAGAATAGCCAATGGCTAATAACTATCGGGACCCCAAGAAAGTAATCTTGGTACAAAATCACAAAGTATCCCTTGCACCGGCGAAACTTTATTCACATAGAATGTTATGCGCACGCAAAGTAACAAATAAGACAATTCAAAAGATCTTAATGTTCTTTGGCTTGCTGTCATAATTTTGGTATATTCATACATAACTTCATCCACTCCATCGCCCTCGTCTCTCTCTATACTAAGACGGTACTATAATCTGCCTGTCTTGTCGTATCTATGACAGAATGATAATCAATCACTCGTCTGACAGTCTCCATTTGCACTGTCTGATTCATATTCACTGGAGAGGATCTCTTGCTCTTCCCCAGTCCACTCACCCTCAACAATATTTACTTCAAGGTCACTGGCATCAACATTATCATTGTTAAAATCGATATAATCACCGACTGCCACAATCGAATCGTCATCCGCAATCCAATCATCTTCATCATCAATGACTGCCTCGATCGAATTGTCGTCTTCAATCGAATCCTATATATCATCGAAGACTGCCTCACCATCTTTGCCCGTTCTCGTTACTATTAGCCAACCGTAAAGACCGAGTACTCTGTCAAAGAAAGGTTAGGGCTAGGATTACAGCGAAGAACCTAAGGGATGCAGAACTCGATCCAGCTTCCCAAATAGTCCATCGCATTACCCTTCCCATTAGCCGCCTCCTTTTTAACACACTGTTCAAACTCTTCGAAGTTTATCTTTCCCAATCCACCTCTCTCCTTGCCTTCCTGCTCCGCATTTTCGATCTTCCACAACTCGTATAATGCCTCATCACTTGGTCTCTTATCTCCCTTCTGGGAACGCTGTTTCTTGGGGCCGGAAGTATCTGCAGCTGGAGGTTCAGAATCTGAAATTTCTGAGATTGACTGGTATTCCCCAACAGATCTGCCGGAAGACACATCATCTGTAACAGAATTTGGTCTAAATTGAGGGAGTGTAGGATCTCTATGCTCAGACGATTGAGTGCTAGTAAAACTGGAAACCTCATCACGCTCTTCTTCTTTCTCCTTGAGGTGTACGTCGATATAGAACAGAAGAGTTGGTGGTAAGAGAGGCTGCAAAGCATTAAAGAAATCGCGTTGTTGGTAAAGATTGAGGTTGTTTTTATCAACATAATATTTCCATGCCCTCAGAGGATCGTCCTTGTAATAAGGAGCATGTTGGAATTCGAGCACTGCCAAATCAAGGTCAAATTCACGATGTGAAAGACCTGATAGCTCCAAGTCAGGAACGATTATTTCATTGCTTGTGTCGTTGGCATCACTAGACTCCTCCACTTCGTAACCTGTAGCTTCTAGAAGTTCATCTAGCTGTCTTAAGCGTATATCCTCGACTTCTACTTCAGGAATAGTAGGCCATACAGGCCGTGGATTGTTATTCGTTCCTCCAATAGCATCACTACCTGGGCCAACGGTCTCGCTAGCAACTAGTTTATCTTCTTCGACTTTCTTAGCCGTAGCCCACCTCACAAAATCAACAGTGCTGAAAAGATGTCGGTATTTGTCGCGTTCTTTCTTTGTCTCCAAGACAGCCACCGCCATATCTTCCTTAGCTAAGAATAATGGGTCGAGTATTTCGTTATAGGCTTGTTGCGAAACTTGATACAAGATCTCCTTTCCCACGTCTTTTTCTGCATCAGGGATTTCTATTCCACCCCAGCGTTCAGGGACGCTCCGCGAAGATGTCGAAGGATTTGAGCGGGTATCGAAGTCATCAATGTCCTCCGCAAATCTTACCTTAGAGGACGAGCGAGAATGAATAGTCGGTCGTTGATTAAATTGAGACTTGGAGGTTTCTCCATCAGCGCTAACTGTGGGAAGGTCTTCCTCGATGTTCCAGTCAGCAGGTGGTGATGCTCCTTCTTCTTCATCAGTGTAAAATTGTCTCCGCTTCCATCTCTCGTGCAATACATATCGGGATTTCTGCCTCTTGATAGCATGCTTTATGATGAAAGGGCGAGCACTTTCCGGAATATTTGACAATGAGTAGTCTGGTCCACAAACTGATTGAACATCTTCATCAGTTATGTTCAAGTCTCGTCGACGACGCTCAAAATTGATGGTTGCATGCTCCGCAGGGGTTAGAAAGGGATTTTCAGAGATATTAGATGCGTCAAGTAAAACAGGGTCATCAGGAACCCACTGGGGATCGTTTTCCTCAAGGGTTTCTCGTAGGATTTCCTCGGAAATTCTTTCGAGCACGGCGTCTTCACTCTCTGTAGAGGGATCTTCCATCAACGATCGCCAGTAGCCTCGTGTCCTTTCAACGGGACGCATCGCAGAAGTTGAAATCCGACTAAAGCTAACAAGAATATCATCTCGATTTCCAGTATCGTTAGCGCTTGGCCTCATCACACCCCTTCCATCCCAAATCTCCATCTCTCCATCACGGATCATTTTTCCCTCCCCGGCCCGCGATTCTAAAGCTGGAAATGGCCCTAGACCTGCACCTGAACTTTGACCAATTAATCTTCCCAGAGCGCCACGGCCATTAAGATGAGCATGTGCCTCCGAACTCATCATATGCTGCTCGTCGAGACCCTCTACCATATCCTTGTGCATTTGGCGATATAAGACGTAGTAAGAGCGAAAGATTCGTAGAAAATCTTTCCTGTCCACATAACCATCGTCGTCAATATCGTATCCAGCAAAGATCACACGCCATTTATCCTTTTGCTTGCGGTATGCTTGACCTCTAAGAAATTCTGAGAATGAGATAAGATCATCTCTGTTGGTATCGTAGAAGGCGAACATCCTGTCGAATATAAGGCTTGGAGCATTATTTCTATAACCGCCACTGGGTACCAAACACCGCTCAAATGTCCTTCTGTCCATAGCTAAGTGAATATCATCGGGGTCTTCTGGCCAAGGTGTGTTTGCCATGAAATTCCATTGCTCAAAGTATGCATCCAATTCCGGCCTTTCAAACCCTGTCTCGTGAGAATATTTGGCAATCAACTCCTTTGGCAATGTGATCATCCTGTCTTGATTCTCGGGATCTCCAGTATACCACACAGGTTGTATCTGCCTTGGTCCAAAAGATGGTGCTGGTACTCTAACTTTATAGAATATATGCGTCTTGGTATGTAGTCCTTGTGCTTCGCATGATTCACATAGATCAAAGTCTGCACAGTTTGCACATCTATATCGAATTCCACGGATGGGAACTACTGAACAACCGTTACAGCCACATCCTCTATGTACGTATGCATTTCTCCTTGTAGCATCTTCGGAAACACGAAAGAGAAGCTGAACAATATTTTGACCGTTTCGTTCAGCATCTGCAGTTGGTGCTCTGCCTGTTAAGCCACCCTCGAATTCCGGACCGTCATCCACCACTGTATCTCCATCTGTCAAAGGTCTAGCTACAATATTTGCGTCTTCATCTTCGCCTGGTGGAATGGGTTGTAAGTGATCAGGTATAATGTCGTCGATTGTTTCTGTGCGTCGGCGCCGGTAGACCGCATTACTTCTACGTAGTCCACTACTCCCAGTGTTGTCTTGTACATCAGCGACATTTGACCTATAGAAGTAGTATATTCCATATGCAGCGGCACAACTGGTGAGGGCAAGTATTGCACCCCTACTTCTCGATAGTGTATTCGAAGCTGTAATAGATGTGGCTGGCATTGCTGCAATGAAATGATCGTATTAAAGTTTGGCTTCTCAATTTATTGCTTCAATGTCTAGGTTGAGGCAACCAGATCCGCAGGAGTACATGGCCGCATCTGTGTTGTCAAGAATGAAAGAATTAGTCCTGGTGTTGGGTTGTAAAGTATTATCAATTTATGGCCAACAATTTGGAGACGCGACGGGAAGGGACTCGCATTATGTCGAGCTTTCCAAATGTGAATTATTCAGCCTTCCCTCTTATCGTTTACGCTTATCACCACGTGACTATGGTCCCCTCTCGCGCCTCTTCAACTTTCCGATAATCCAAATTATCAACCCAATCTCATAGCTAGCTACTTTGTGATATTGTTTCCTTGTACACCGAGTACTGTTGTACAGTTGTTTTTGGTCAGGCTCCATGCTGTTCTTGTCGGGAGAGCTTAATCCTGGTCTACAGAATGCTTAACTAAACGCTTTATGTCTTGATTCTCATTAAAGTCACCAAGTATTATCGTAAGTTGAAATTATCAGATCCAGGCAAAATGTAGAAGAGAACATAGCATTTCATAATAATCACAACAGCATACTGAAACTTTGGATATCCTAAAACACCATAACGCCAATTGCTGACCCGTTATCCCAATCTTTTCTTCTAACAAAGTGAGTTTAACATTGCAACTCCTTCTACTTTCCAGCTATTTCCCCCTTATCCTGCCGTCCTTGGACTCCGTCTTCTGCCTGTACTCTGCGCAAATATCTCAGACCCCGGTATCGTATTTTCTCTTCCCTCTAGAGCAACCACGCTAGGTTTTTTCGATGATTTTGGCTTTGGTATCTTGCCTGTTGCTTGCTTTTTGAATGGTGGAGTCGATCCGTCGGAATCGAGGGATCTAGCTGAACCGTTTGACATTAGGCTTTGGCTTAGGTTTTGGATCTCTGAGTTCAGTGTTCCGGCGTTTACATTCACGTCGATCTCCCTAAGTCCAGTTGGCTTATTTTCTGGTTCTTCGATAGGAACAAAAGCTACCTCTTCATTTACAGTAGGGGTAGAATCGTTGTAAACCACTGGGAAAACAACTTTGCTAGGTGATTGCATGGCTTGTGGCCGGCGAAGAGCTGCCAGGAGTGTTTCATGCGCCTCTGTCCGAGGCAAATGCATTGTGTATTGATACTGAACCTTCTGAGGAGTCTCTCCTGTTGGCTCGTACTCCTGCAATGTCGATTTAGCAATGTTGGTGCGAAGATCTGCAAGCGGCTGTCGAAGATTGTCATCCAATGGAGTAAGGTTCTCGGCTAAGGCTGTTGTCTTTGAGGTCATTTCGTCGCCGAGATCTTTAACACGACCAAATGTTGATGTGAAGTGTGCACCAATATTGTCATATGAAAATTTAACGGTAGATGATAGACCTTGAAGAGATCTCGCATGCAGGTCATGATGCTCCGCATTCTGGGCTCGTGCACGAGTGACAAAGTCATCTAGTGCTTGCATTTGAGTGCTGATATCCTTCATTTGTTCATCGACAATGCGAACGGTCTCATCGTGTACAGATCGGGTCGTAGCTTGAATAGAAGCATTGTGTTTATTTGCAGCCATCCAGTCATCCTTCAGCTTTGTCTTCAAAGTCTCCCTAGCCCTCAAGACTTCCTCGACAAGTTTCTCTTCCTTTTCGTTCCACGCATCCATGCCTTCGCTGTACTTGACCCGAGTCACTTCGAAAGTTTCATTTGATGATTGAATGTCCGTTCGAACGGCGGCAATCTTCTCACCGAGACGTGCATCTTGAGTTGCACCCTGAGCCATGACTAAACTCGAGATCTGTGAAAGTAGGTTTTGGCGATCTTCCGCGGCTTGCTTTCGTTCTTCTTGGATTACCTCGTCGAGTTTGGAGTTTATGGCAGTGTTAGATTCCATGGCAGCCTCACCGGCGGCATGAAGTTGCTGTCTTAGTTCGTTTGCCTCCGCTTTCTGTGCATTGACGTGTTTGAGGAGGTCTTCAAAAAGTGACTTGAAATCTCGACCTAATGAACTGTATGATCCATGAAGCTGAGTATGGAAAGCGCCTAGTTCACTGATCACTTCTGCAGAAATTCTTTCTGCTGCAACTGCTAATCCTTGGAGGCCTTCACCTACTCGGACTTTGGCATCTTCCCGAAGAGTTTTGATCTCTTCAAGAACCACATTCATTTCTTCCTTAGCTGAATCTGTTTGCTCGGAAACCTCCTTCCCAGAATTCTCAAAAGCAACAACGTTCTCTTCTAGGAATGCTTGTGTTGCCGCCAATTTTTCTAGTTCACCATCCACAAATGCTTGCATCCGACCAGAGACGGCGGCCATAAGTTCCTGCTGTTGAACTCGGAACTCCTCGACCCGTGATTCTACAAGACTCGTCACTTCGGAGACCTGAGCCTGTGAGAGGCCCCAGGCATTTCTGTTCAGGGTCTGAAGAGCCGACTTTCGCCTATTCTTGTCATGGAGACAACCAACATCGCTCACTGTGCGTCCCAGCGTGGAAAGGAGCTCACTACCGACAATGCTGAGTTGTTCCTCGGTCTTCTGGTGAGCCTTTCGAAGTACAGACTCTTCTTCCAAAGTCCGGCGAGTGTTTTCTAGTACCGATTCCGTTTGTTCTAGTACACCTTTTGTCTCATCCAAAACAGATTCCACCGCCTCAGCCTTTTTCTTCATTGTCATAAAGTTGGAAGTTATTGTGTATAATTCTTGGACTTTGTTGCGGAGATTTGTTTCCATCGTCTCGATTTTTTCTGCTTGTTCTTCACTGAGTATTCTCCGCGATTCACTCTCGACTTGAATTTCTTCAAAATTCTCGTTGGTGAGATAAACTCCATTGCGCTGTCGTGCGGCAATAAGTTCGCCCTTGAGCTTTTGGATTTCATATGTAAAATCTTTAAGAAGGATGTTTTTGGAAACCTGTTGGTTGACTTGAGGTTTGTTGCGAATATTCTTGGCTCTGAAAGCGTAGTCCAAGGTGGAAATTGTCTCCTCTAAATTGCTTTTGGCAGGAGAAACTGTTGCAATAATGCACGTTTTCGTTCGGCCACCTAGGGAATCTTGAAGAAGACGCGTGAGTTTCGATTCACGGTAAGGAATATGAACATCACGAGAACTTCGATCAACCAGGGCATTGATCACACGACCAAGAGTCAGTAAACTCTTGTTGATCAAACCAGCTTCCGCAGCTCTTTTGTTCTCGGCACCACTGCGTTGAATATTTTCACTTCCTGCCAAATCGACCAAGTTCAGCTTGCCAGCGCTAACATATTCCTCCCCATTTTCTGCTGTCCTTTTGATGTAGGCGGTGACTGTAAAGACCGTATGACTTCTACTACTCAGGTCGTTACACTTGGTTGAGGCGACTTGTCTTTTGAAAGATCCATCCTGCAGAATCTTCACACCATCTCTAGCGGTCTTAATATACGATTCCTCCATACCCTGAACTAATGTTGTAGTGCTTCCTTTTTTGCTGTTGTCGTCGTAGATCTTGAGCTTTGTGCTATCGTTGACAGCTATCAAATCGCGCAGCTCTTCATTATAAAGTTCGATGAATGAACACTTCACCGAAGATTCCGCGTCATTTAACTCGAGCTTGTTGAACAAAGCGTGAAGAGCGCGAGGTATGATTCCAGCATTATCTGAAAGGATCCCTAAATGATCGCTCATATCTCCGGACATCGTATATGTTTTTCCAGTACCGGTTTGTCCATATGCAAATATCGTACAATTGTATCCCGCAAGCATCTAAAACAATTAGTAATGCTACATGTAAATAATAGCAGTGAAAGTACCTCATCAAGAATTGGAGTCACAACATCGTCGAAAATCATGGCTTGATCTGCTGCAGATGAAAACACTTTGTCGAAATGGTAACTCTTGTTACTGAGAGCGCTGGGCCCCATTGATAAATCGAGATTCTTGCCCTTTACTCCTTCTGTTGAGAGTACAACACCACTGTTTTCTTTGACTTCGCGCTCATTTCGACCCCTACATCGCACCACGACATTGATATTTGTCTCTCCACCTCCTTCATGTTCAAAATCTCTTTCCTTTCTCTTCGTTCCCGTAGTAGATGTAGCAACAGATGCGACTGATCCTGTTGGCGAGACTGCTCCGGATCTCGATGGCGGTGGCATTGCTGAACTTGATCTAGAGGTGGAAGGTCTTGGTCCTGCTAAAGAACTTGATGGTCTTGGTGGAGGTCTCATGGTGTTTATCCTTTTATTTACAGCTGCCGCTGGCGTTGCTCGGGGTATTCCTGCCATAATTTGGCGGTTATAATATATTGAAGAAACTCAATTCTGCGTCGCTCGCGAGGGAAAGAAGTACAGTAGGTCGTCGGTATTATTGGTGTTTGTTTGGGTTTGTTTAGAGATCCAAAATTGAGCCAGTAAATTCAACGCGGGGACCAACGCGCTAATAGCAGCAGACAAATGGCTCAATGCTGATGGTAGATTTCAAAATATAGAAATTCTTCTTTTACCTATGAAAATATAATGTCGTTGTCGTATTGTTCTTGTCGCAAACAATTGTTGATGTATTTCTTCAACATTCAATACAATCAATTTCTTTGATCAACATTTCATTTCTGACAAATTGTTGCTCCGGCAACCAAACCAATCCCACTTCTCTACTCCAAAGCATCACGAGCTTCCAGCCCCACCATGCCATCACTCTGGAAGTGTCTCACTTCACAGTCGCAGTCATTAATTCCATGTTCAAATACCTCGAGTACCAGTACAAATACTTCACTGTCTACTGGTAATTCAAATACAGATGTAGCAGATATGTCGTTATTCAGCGCTCAAGTCCATCCAGGACGAGCTCTGGGCTTTCTTGGTACATAGATAATATATTGTTCTCCTTCACAAAGAACTGAAACTAATGATATATCTACAGTTCTAGGAGCTTCACTTCACGAGATTATCACACGAATCAAAGCCGAACCACAACGATTTCCTAAACTCGACTTGACTTATGAGCCTATCGCTCCTGTCGATGAACC